ACCCCATTTCCCCAGCTTCCTAGCCCCAGGCGGGTCCTTTCCTTCTAAACACACATACGAACTCGCTTAGCCACCTGCTTGGGTTGGTAGTGGTAGGACCAAAATGGGCATCAGAGGTTTCGGAACCAACTTTCTGAGGCTCCCAGAAGTCGTGAATTTACTAAGCTGAGAGTCTGGGGATTGGGCTGGAGGGAACTGAGACTGTGAAAGCTGTGACAGAGTAAGGGAAAATGTGCATAGAAAAAGCCTCCACCCCACCCAGACTCCCTACTCAACTCCCTAGGTCTGAGAAATATTTGCATCTCTAGTGAGAAAGTCAAAATAATATCAATTTCATTAACAAATACAGGAACAACACAAAAACAACCCTCTAACTGCAAAACTCCAGAGATCTCTGCCTATCCCCAGTCCTGGGACCTTGCAGGTGGGTAGGAGGAGAGTTCCCATCTGCCCACAACTAGGTCCAGAGACCCTCTGATTTTCTTTTCATCTTAAATCTAGGAATTGCCAATGTTGGCCTCTGGGCCTGATTTCTAACATCAACATTCTCCCAGACAGGCTGAACTCACACATATTTGGGAGAAAAAAGCAAACTATTATTACACAACTGTTGTCTTTGCCAAGAGAAGGTCCAATAGGTAATCTCAGACCCCCATCTGGGCAGTCAGGGAGACTGGAGTCTGGCCCAGGGCCCACAGACAAAATGCGCTGCTAGGATCCCCACCAGCTCCCTAGCGTCAACCAGGGACCTTTTACAAATCTTGTCAAAGGCCACTTAGGGTCTCCAGGACCCACTCCAACCGTCCAGGCCCCTCCCCCACCCCATACCTCCTGTCCTTCTCAACTCGACAGCTCTCGGAAACCCTTCCAACCCGTCGGCATTTCGGACGTTTGGGAGGGCCGCTGGGCCGGCTGCCGGGCCTCTCTGCTGCTCTACACTTCACAAGGGATGCGGCCCAGGTGCCCCAGCACCCCAAGAGAGAGGAACAGGGGGCAGAGCCACCGCGGGTTTGGGTATCCTTGATACTGGCGCCCGAGAGCAAAGATTTTTCTCCTCTGTGCGCTGGAAGCCGCCACCTGCCAATCCCACCAAGGCGCCGCACCCCCCACACCCCTCTAGCCGCCCGAGACAGAGAACAGGGTTTATGGGCGACTCCCAGGACGGGTTTCATCGGAGCGGGAGGCTGCCTCTCCCCTCCACCGCCCAGAAGGATACGAACAGCAACATGCATAATAATAAAATAAGAGCAGGGGCTGCGCGCTATCAGAGCCACCTCCCCTGCGCTCCCGGGTCTTTCCGCGGCTTCCCGACCGCCTTCTCCTGGCAGCCACAGGTTGCTAGCATGACCTCGCGCCGCCCAGCCACCCTCCGCCGTCCGGGCGTGTCCAGCCCGCGAGGAATCACCTTTTGTCGGAGGGGAGAAGGGACTCAGCGAGGGAGTGAAACCGAAGGCCCGAGCGGAGGCGAGTCCCCAGCCGGCCTGCGCATCGGCGGCGGCGGCGCGGAGGAAAGGCCCAGAGCGGGCGAGGGCGAGGGTACTCACCGGGAGGCTCCCCAGCCCCGCCGGCCGCCGAGCCGCCCGCGGACGCGCTGGGCAACAGCTGAGCTCGCTCCTGTCCACTATTGTGTGTCCGGAAAACCGGACCGCGGCGGCGGGCAGAGCCACGGGCTCCCTCAGAAGCCGGAACATGACTTTTTTTTTTTTTTTTTTTTGGTGTGTTTTTGTTTTGGAAGCGCAAGTTTTCGTATTAATCTCATACTTTGGCAGTCTTTGTTAAACAGGCGCGTCACGAGGCTCTCAAACATTTTAATAATTTTTAGACGCCGTGACCTGCGGTTCACCCCTCTCCCGGCCTCCCCCACCAGCAGGCAGTTACTATAATACGCTCGCGCAGTTCGCTGGGTCATATTGAATTTTGCGTAGGTCATTACTTGGGAGAAAAATGACAGAGCAGAAATTTGATTCAGCTCATCCTCTCCAGCTCGACTTTTCGCCAGTCTTCTCTTCTCTTCACCCAACCCCCACCCCAAAAAAGTCCCATTCGGATAAGAGTCAGTCGGCCACGCCCCTGTTTTGACTTTCCATCATTCCCATATTTTTGTCAGCTCTGGTTCCAGAGAGAGTGTGGGGTTTCACGTGGGATCCTTTTGAGGCCTGAGAAGGAGGCTGGCACGGGGAAAACTGAAAGCGTGGCTTTGGGCATCTGGGCCCCAGAGAGCAGGCCTGAGCAAGAGGCCCCTTCCCTGAACCTTACCCCTAAATGCCTGTATGGCTAGGGCCCGAATCCCCACTCCATTGCACACTCCATCTGCTTTGTTGGCTCCCCTAAGTGTCAGAGATACCCTCATTTCTACAAAAGCTTTGGAAGCTCCAGGGCCTAGAAATGACCACTCCACCTCTTGGGGCCAAGATTTTGGTCCACACAACCCAGCAGTTTCGAGGAAGCTAGAACCCTGAGAGACGTGCTGGGCTGGGCTGGTCAAAGCTGGGGACATAACTTGCAGAGCTTTAACTGTCCTTTAAATACAAAACAATAGCTTCCCCCTCCCCCCAAATAATCGTTCTCATCAATACAGTAACACTTTTGCCTACCCCCATCAACCACACAAGGAGGTTCAGGAGCAGATCAAGAAGGCATTTAAAACAGTGAGATTTTCTTGGGTTTGTCTCTCCAGGATTAGAATCTGGTGGATTGCCTACAACACACTTCTCCCGTTCTCCAGCCTCCTAGGGACCTGCAGAGGTGAGTCAGGTGACTCCCCTTCCTCCCAGTTCAAGTCTACAGACTGAGACAGGGCTCCAGCCTAGTTGGTCGGGTGGTAGCCTCCTAGTAGGGAGAGGTCAAGAAAGAACTCCCCAAGGCACCCAGCTTGGTCTAGAATGTCAGAGGCCACTTCTTCCCCATCCTAGGTCCCTCTAGCCCAGGACCTTGGGCTGCTCCAGTCTATACCGAAATTTGCTAACGTTCCGTCCTGGAACAGAAGGAGATGGATTCTTCAGTTCAGGCTTTGACATCGGCCTCTTCAGGACTCCAGGAATTCCCTCCTGGTCTGACACTGCAGAGAAACTCGCCTAAGGACTAAGCAGAAATATGGACCTACACCCAATTGGTTTAGTCAAAACCCTGGGTTAAATCTATTTGAAATTTGATATTAAACCTTTGTCTCGTCTGGCCATGTTTCAAAAAGGAATCTTTACAGAAACTCTCAGGTTATCTTCATCCTAGAAGGAAAAACGCCCACAGTGTACCTCCTATAGTAAACGCTTGGAAGAGAACATAATGACATCTCATAATACAACAGTCATTTAAAGACCCAAAATAGGCATATGCCCCAGTGTTATAATTACTGAGTCTCTCTAGGCATTTACTTATGAGCTAAGCTCAATGCATGGATTCAAAGTTCATTTCAGGTTGCCTGTTTCAACTCCAGTAAAAAAGATCTCTGTGAGGCCATTTGGTACTTTTCCTTTGCATTTCTCCTCCCTCATCCAAATAGGAAGAGAAGGAGTCAAGATAAACACAAAAATGGAGGCTTGGGAGAGAGTGAGAGAATTAACAAGCTAATCTTTCAATAGGTAAGTTCTTAAACTGCAGCAATTTGGAGAGACAAATGAGAGTTTGGAAAGGCTCCAGTGTTGGCCCATGCTCATGGACCCTACCTTCCTGACACAGCCTGGGGGTTAAGGGTGCTGGAAAACAGGCCTGCCTCTCCCAGGGTTGGGGGATTGAAAGAGTCAGTAGTTTGACCCCTTTAGGGCAAGCAGGGTGAATTGATGTTGGTGAAAATCAAACCTTCACATTGGAAGTATTCTTTGGCCCTGCCAGAAGTCCTACAAAGACGTGGGGGTAATTTAATTGAATTTCTAAAATGTGTGTGGCTAGGAAGGTTTAATTAAATTTAATATGGTGACTCAAAGATTATCTTTGGAAGAGAAAATTGCTCAGAGGGTTCACCACACCCTAAGCGCTGTCTTTTCTACAACTCACCACCACCACCAGTCTCATCCTTTTTGGAGAAGGGATTTTTCCTTCCTCAGTTTCCCCTCCCCAGATATCTGCCTCTTCGCTGCCCAATTCTGCTCCCCCACTTCTGCAACCCACAAATCTTCCTTACCTCCAGCATCCCTGGCTCCCTGGTCCGTCTTCACACACATACAGCCCCCTCCCCCACCGCTCCACCCCACCCCCGCCCCAGTCGCCTCCGCCGCGCTCGCTCACGCATGGTGTAAACTTTTGACCCTCCAACTTTGCGACCCCTCCGGCAATAACACTGGCCTCACCACCCAGGGTCTCATTCTGCTATGCCGGCCGGCCGCAGAAACCCCAGGGCAAAACGCTCTCCTTACCCCTCCCCCTTTCGCCAATGTCCCCACTCCCCCAGGGCCTTAGACCTGGGCAAGATGAGTCTTTTGACTATTAAATAACTCCTTGGAAAAAGACGCGGAACCCACTTCACGCATTTTCAACGGTCTCTTCTATTGGGATGCCTGGAAGGGCTTTTGACCACTCACTCTTCTTCATTTTTGACCCCCAAGTGGGGCAGAGGTTGCTGGAGGAAGAGACCTATGGTGAGCAGTAGAATGGGCTGACCTGGAGAAGGGCATTTTTGGGGTGAAGGGTGGAAAGAGCTTGGAGCAGGGGCTCCTCGGGAGCAGAGGGGGCCACTGTGCTCACAGGGCTGGAGGGAGAGCTCAGTGTCCCAACAATGCGGGGCCCGGGGCCACCTTGCGCGGCCGTTCGCTGGCGCCTCGGAGGCCCCAGCCCGGCTGTGAACTTGGTCTAAGGCGGACTCTACTGGCAGCTCCGGGATGTTACAGCCTCTGCCTCTAGTCCAGAGCAGCGGCCGTAAGGACAACCCGCGCGCTTTCGGTTTCCCTTCTGCCCAAATATCGCCTCCCAGACCACCACCTCTCACTGGGAAGGATTTCCTTTCTCCTTCCTTAGGATCCTTTGGGATTCAGAAAACAGAAAAGAAAACGAATTAGAGATGCACGCACCTAAGGACAAACCTGCAGAAGCCCCGAAATAGGGTATCCTCCATGATGCCTCCAAATCCCCCAAAAGGCGACGCCCCACACAGGTTGGCACTTTCCCTCCACTTCTCCCCTAAGTGTGTCTTTCCCAACTGGCCTGGGTCATCTTTTGGTACGGCAAAATGGTCTGGGGCCTGCGAGGTACCTTTCCTCCCTGGATGCATTCAGCCCTACCCCACTGGGCTCCGAGGTCAGGGATCGCTGTGACCAAAACCAGCCTCTGTGCTCCGAAGCCGCAAGGCTCAGCCCGGATCCACTCGGGGAGAGGCAGGCCAGAGGGCGGCCTTGCAGCCTGGGAACCGTTTCCAGGGAGCAGAAGCTAAAGGATACTGCAGAGAGTGCATTTTTCTCTCCAAGAGGAACTTTAGGGGGAGAAGAGACAAGAGAGGAGACGCCTAAATCACCGAGAAAAGGAAAAAGGAGGGAAGAGAAACGTTAAAACTTGGGGAAAAGGTGCTTTTTGGGATCCGACAGGTTTCCGAATTGCCGGAAGTCCAATCCTCTCCAGGCTCCCAAATTTCCCCTCTTCCTCTTGGAGCCTGCAATCAGTAAATTCGCCAAAAGAAAGAACGAAAGATCCGCCTAAACCTGCTGGCGTGCCCCCACCCCAGGTCTGCAGCGGTGGAGGTGCTGCGGCGGTGTGGCCGGCGGCGCGTAATGTATGCTGCAGCGGCTCGGAGCCCCACGTAGGCTGGCGCTGCTGCCCCTGTCTGCTGACCTCTGCATGATCCCGGACTCTATGAATTATTGATGAGATATGAGCGTTGATTTCCCCTTTCAGGATGCAAACTCCATTATATTGTTAAAATGGCGATTTAATCGTTGAGAATAGCTTTGGTGTGGGTTTTTTCCCCCAACTCATTTGCGCCTCCTTCCTTTTCATTTAACTCTCTTAATTAAATCCTTTAACAGATTTTAATCACTTTTTGGAGGGAGGGGTAGGAGAAAGGAGAAGGCCATAAGACCATCACTACCAACAACAACGGGACGCTAAAGCAAAATAAAACAAACCAAAGTCAAAAACCATCATAAGCCTCTACCTTTGAGAAGTTGAAAGGAAGGTGAAGAGAGGGAGGTTAACCCCTCTAGAAAGGATGCTCGTTAACCTCTGATGGAGACAGACCTTTAGAGGGCTGGGGAAACCCACCAGAGACAAGGAAGAGTGGGGTGGGGCCTGCAGGAACGACCTGAGGGGTATTTAATCCACTCCTGCCCCGCCCCCACAACCATCACCACCATGAGACTTGTGTGTGAAGTTGACTGTAGAGACTAAGTCATTCTTGCCCTCGCTGAGAACTCCAGGGGCCTCAAGCCTGGGGAGGGCCACAGGATTCATGTGGAGAGGGTCCTCCAATCTCAACCTCAGAGTCACTTAGGGAGAAATATCCATTCTGCTTCAGGAACCCCCATTTCTCCCTTCCCCTCCCCAAACAGCTCGGTTTCCAGGCGGTGTTAATTAATATGGATGTGTAACCACGCTGCAGCAATCGATAAATCTCACTGTGGGCAGATCTCAGCCTCAAAATCCGATTACTCTGAGAAAGTCCAAAAATGGGGAGGGTTACCAGTATCCCCTCCCTTAAAAGAGGGGAGCTCATTCTTGCTAGCCCTGTCTTCCAAGATTGACCAGGTTGGTCCCCCAAGCTGAGAAGTCCATGCTGGGGAGACTAGTCCTGGGAAGGGACTGAGTTTGGGGGGTTGTGCTGAGCTTCTGTCTTCTCCATTGCTCTGAATCCTTAGTATGCAAATCCCAGGGATAAAGGAACCAGTCAAGGAAAGGAGCTTCCTCTTGGATATTCCCATTCTGCTCACCAGCCCTCAGAGAATAACTTCTCACAGTCAGGGAAGGGTTAAGTGTCCCTGCCACAGTTATGGAGAGGAAGCCGATGAAATATGGGCAATTGGAACTCCAGGCCCGGCTGGCTTTCCTGTTTACACTTCTTTATACTTCCTCCCACCCATTGGCCTCAGAGAAACAAAACAAATAACCAAATAAAACAAAACAAAAAAAAAATCCAAATTGAATTGTCCACTGAGTGGTGGCCAGGCTGGCCTCAAAGGGAAAAGAGAAACTGCAGCCTTAATCTCCAGCTGTCACCTCCTGGGGCCTGCCCCAGGTTGAAGATTTGGCCAGAGGGTATCGGCCTGGCTTGTAGCTCAAGAGGCTGAAGCCCGGACTGGCAGAGAGAAAAAGCGGGTGGGAGAGGAGGGAGAGCAAAGCTCTGGAGAGAGTGGAGCTGCTTTCTTAGAGGGAGATAGCCTGAGGAGGGCAGGAGGAGATGACAGAGTTCTGGGGCAGAGGAGAGAGTTCTTGGCACCAGAAATCCCTTCACACTTCTCATTGCCTCCCCCAACTTGTCCTGGTTGGGGTTCAGACCAGACTGGGGTTCAGCTTAGGGAGCCTGAAGTGGAGAAGAGGAAAGCCCAGCCTAGGCATCTTCTCCAGGACCCGCTTAGAGCTGGAGGAGACCCTTCAAGGGTTTGACCACTGAGGTGCAACTGGCACCCCAAGTTGCTCTTTGCCATCCTGCAAAATCCAGCCAGATATGCTTCTTAGATGTCAGAGCCTGCAGAACTGACATGAGAGGGGGCGAAGAAACAATTTTTCAGCAGCAGGCCTTGCTATCTGGGGTTTTAGCTTCCAGGAGGGCTTTAAGAAAAGGAAGTATATTAGAGTGAAGCCAGGGGCACAGTAGGAATGGGGTTCCCCTGGAGACCCAGGTCAGACTCTCCCTTGCGGAACTCTTTCTCTGTATGTCTGTCAACTCCGCTGCCTTGTACAGTGGAAGACTGTGGAAGCTGTGCCTCTGGCACTTCTTTATATTTTCAATGGTTCTGGGGATCCTTTGGGAGTCGACCTGTGTCTCCTTTCTAAGGGATACAAATGCCCTCATCATTCTTGGGATGATGTGTCTTCAAACCAGGGTGACTCTGCTTTTAAAGCCTGTTAAGGATCTCCTGTAAGTCAGGCTTGGGCAGTGGATAGAGAGCTCAGGGAATAGAGAGTGGCTTCAGGAGAAAGAGGAGAGGGGGAGAATTCCAATGTCCCTTAATGGGAAAAAGGGAGTCTTATGACCCCATCCTTGTCCCAAAGATCAGAAGCCCCTCGAGGTGCCACATATCCAATCCCAGAAACTACCTATGGCAGTTGGTGAGGTGAATCAAGGGATGGCAGGCTGGTGAAAGCAGGAGTGACAGGGTAGTTAGCCCCATAGGTCTTAAATTGGAGGGGGATCAATTTGGTGGGGAAGAGGCCTCTGACTTTTAGAAGGGTGACTTTTCCCTAGAAAATAACAGAACCCCTGGGGATCAAATCCTGAAGTCTCTCTGGTTTATGGTGCCACAAAACAAAGGGGCCTTTGAGGGTGTGCCCGGAAGAGAAGAGGGAAAAAGAGCACCTTTCCTATTTTCTCTTCCAGCTCCTGAATCTATTTCCTCCTGACAGTTGAGGGATTTGTATTCTTGAGCCAATTTTATTTATGGAAGGCATGCCAGAGTTCTACTTAAACACCTAACACCTCTAGGCAAGAGAAGAAGCTCTTCCCTTCCCCCACTCCTGGTTCAGGAATTAGGTTTTGAACTGGGGGATTGCCCACTCTGTCCGCTCCCTAGTCTGACTTCAGGATCCTACTTTGAGCCAAGGAGAAAGATTAGCTTGAGACCAACAGGCTGAAGGTGGAAGCAAAAGCAGCGCTGTGCTCCCCATCCCAGAGAAGCCTGATGAAGCCAAAGATAACTGGAGGGACCCCTTTTTATGGGCTTTAAAGATCTGAAAGCCAGAGAGCACCCCAGAGCAAGGCAGCCCACAGCAGCCACCTACCCGGTGCTTTTTCTCAGCTCACATGTATCCGGATAAAAGTGCCCAGAGGTGCACCCCCCCACACTTCTGACAAATGAATGTCATAAAGTTTCTTTACTGAGGGTGGGGAAATAGCTGTCTGAAGATATCCAGCAGTGAAGTGGCCCCCCACAACGGCCCCTTCTTTCAGCAATACACACCCCTCCTTCTTGGTCCCTAAATTTCCACTGTCACTGAGGGAGCATGAATCCCCCACACAAACCCTTTTCCCCACAAAGTCAGACACTGCTGCTAGTAAAAATCAGGCACCCCCAACCCATGAGGCCTTATGAAACTGAGAGCACTCATTTCAGGCACACAGTCCCTTAGAACTGAGTGCATAAAACAGGCTAAATTTCCCCCACATCACCCCACAGCCCCAGCTGGAAACAAGTTTTCTTCCCCTAGTCCCAAGTCCCAGAATTGCAAGGGGTAAAAGCGAAAGCTGAAAGCGACTTACTGTGGGAATGCTGGCCTGGGCCGCTGCTGCCTTCTGGGCTGGTCCGGCTGCTCCAGGCTGGAAGAGTGCTCACCTACTTCTGCCCCCTTCCCCATCACAGCGAGCAGTTAAAGTGTCACTTAACATTCTGGAGAATGTGAAATATACTGCGCGGTGTCAACTCCCCAAAACCATAAAACTAACTTTATGGACCTCACGTGACTTTCTCGAGCCAGTGAGGGGTATCTGTCTGACTTCTCGGCGATTTTTACGATCTAACTTCGAGATAAAACCCCTATCCATTTGACATCTAAATGTCATAGCGACTTTTGGGATAGTTTGCTATCGACAAAGGGGGACAAAGTCAAGGGGTGAGGGAAAGGAGGGCCAAGTAGAGCCTCCACGACCCTCGGCTGCCTCCTCACCAGCTCCCCCTCCCCCCAAGTCCAGTAAGAAGTTGGGCCAAGCTGGAAGGGATTGACCGGGTAAGTGTCCAGACTTGACTCTTGCGATCAGGGTGGAGGCTGACTTGGATGGAGGTGGACTGGGCCCTGGCCCTGGGCCAGGCTGAAGGGGGAACCAGGGGTCTTTCTGAAAGGACTCTAACTCCTAATCAAGAGGGAAGATCAGTTGGACCCTTGGAGAGAAGGAGCCCTTGATAAGGGTAGGGAAGGCTGAGGATGAGAGAAATCCTTTGAAATCCAACTGATTTTTTTTTTTTTTTTTGGTTTAGTTGGTGGCAGAGCTGAATTGGGACTTGGAGTAGGAGACAGGGGGCTGGGCAGGCCTCTACCACTCCCAAAAGGCTAGGAGCCTCCTGCTGAGGACTTAGGCCCAAATTACTTTCCCAGAAGAGTTTTCCAGAGGCTTCCTTGACCAGCTAATGGAAGACCAGGATGGAGTCTAGTTCAGCCTTTCCCCTGCCCCAGCCCCACATGGGGTTTCTGGGCCTTGGAGTTCCCCAGGCACAAAGGTCTGTTCTCTAGCCCAGGTACTGTTGACCAAGCCAGGGACTTACATGGCTGAGAAGAGCTGTTGGGGAGCAGCCTACTTTTTCTTCCCTGCACCCCAGATCTATTGAGAATGGTGCAGGGTGTGCCTGGGATGGAAGAGACAGACCCCTCGGAGAAAAGACAAGTGGAAGGGCAATGGAGTGGGGGAAACATTTATTTGACTTCCAGGAAAGCTACAAACAAATACCAAAAGCGAATCACTGAGACAGGCCCCGCAAAGACAGATTTCACACGTAGCACAGCATCCACTCGCTCACTACAAATGGTCTTGGAAGCAAAATGGGTAAGGGAGAGATGGGTCTGACCCAGACTATCCCCATATTTACAAGCTTTGGGCCCTCTAGCCAGACCCATAGATTCACAGAGAAATACACAAGACATTTTGCACTGAGGATCATTTTTGTTTCCATATACTCCCAGACCAGGCCTTGCGGGGCCTACTCAGGCAGCAGGAACTTAAATCTCACTATCTTCTTTCTTTCTTCTCAATATCATCCCTTTGGTCCTCCCTAGCCCCTTCCCACCCTAGGACCAAGCCCCTAGGAGACTTGGGCCTGGGGAGTGGAGAGAGAGGAGGAGGAGAATGAAAAGAGACTCCATCTCCGAGGCCAGCTCAGCTTGGCCCCACTGCGGCACTACCCCACCTCAACTGCTGCCCCTTACAGAAGTTTCCAGCTGAAACTCAAAATACAGCGATCATCTTTTTATAAATAAGTTAGAACACAGATGGGGAGGGGAGAGTTCACATTAAACATGCGAATTTCTTTTTTTTTTTTTTTCCTGGGGGAAGGACTGCAATCACAGACACAAACATTCAGAAACGCTGGCGGATTTGGGGCAAGCAGAAGGGAGTTGGGAGCATGGAAGGAAAATAATAATAATTATTATTATTAACAATAATAACAAGATAACCAGTCCAGGAGAGAGGGCGCCACAGGAAGACCTAAGACCAAACGAAATATCGTAACACAAGGCCGGGGCGAGGCAGGCTTGTGGGAACCGGTCCCCAGCGGGCGGCGGCAGCGCGGGGAGGATTGGAGGGGCCAGGGCTGGGGGTGGCATGGGCTCTTGGGCCGCTGGGCTCCTCTGGGCGGGCTCAGGGCTGGAAGGCGCTGCCGGCTGTAGCCAGGCTCATACTTTTCAGTTTGTTGTCCTTCTTCCACTTCATGCGCCGGTTCTGGAACCAGATCTTGATCTGGCGCTCGGACAGGCAGAGTGCGTGGGCGATCTCGATGCGCCGTCGCCGGGTCAGGTAGCGGTTGAAGTGGAACTCCTTTTCCAGCTCCAGGGTCTGGTAGCGGGTATACGCGGTCCGGGCCCTTTTCCCGTCCGGCCCGGTCATATCTGGAGCAGACAGAGGAAAGCCGCAAGGCAACGTTATTCCGGTTAAGGGAGGGGGCACTGGGTGGGAGGGGGCGGGGGAGCAGGACCCAGGCGTCCGGGCACCCAGCTCACCACAGCTCCAATCTTCTCTACTCCAGATGCCCACATTCAAGCTCGATTTCTGCACCCCTTTCTCCTGCATCCCCCACTTCTGCCGGCAGCTAGTGCGCCCGGCTTTGTCTTTTGCTCGCTCCTAGTGCCTCACCCTTGGCTGGGCTCAGGCGGCCGCTCGCCCCGGGAGGGAGGAGAGCGGTTGCACTTTTGCCCTGGAAAGCTCCTTTTACTGCTCACCCCTTCTTTGCTAGCAGTAGTCTCAAAATTTCAGGGGTAAGCAGGACCCTTCCCCACATTACATGAACCCCATCCTTTATTCTAAAGCTGGTACAGCTGCGCTAATAAAAACCTAAGCCGAAGCTGAAACAAATTATTAAAAATACCCCCCTCTAACAGAGAGACCCTCTTTGGCTCTGTCTACCAAGCCATGAGGCCCCTCTTAGAGACTTCTCCCCCTTGGAAAAATGAATCCATATTTAGGGTAAAGCCAAGCTCTCCTTGTTCCCCCCATCCCACCCCAAAACGCAGAGAAGGAAAGCTGAGAATACAAAAAAGAGAGAGAATTACCATGGCTGATGTGAAGCTTCCTCATCCAGGGGAATATCTGCGGAGTCTGCCCCTCGGGCGCGGCTGTGGAGGTGGCCATGGGCTCTGGCTGCGCCCGAGCTAGGCTGGGGCTGCTTAGCTGGCTCGCCGCTTCCTCAGGCTCCGAGGACGCACTGGCCTCGTCTATTTCGGTGAAATTGGCGCTGGAACTGGCTGGGGTCGCCTGGTCGGAGGGGGACGAAGCAGAGGGCTTGGCGCCGTGGCTGTCGCCGTTGGTGCAGGGCAGGGACTCGGGCGAGGACAGGGAGCAGCTCGAAGCCGCTTGCCTGAAGCGGGGCTCCTGGGCGGGCGCGGGGAAGGCGCGCGAGCTCTCGCCCACCGCCCCAAAGTGGCTGGAGGAGGCCGAGGAGCGGTTGACGCTGAGGTCCATCCCATTGTAATTGTAGCCGTAAGAGCCGGTGTGCATGGCAGCGGGATCCCTGTAAGAGCCGCTCAGAGAGCTGCCACTGCCATAATTTAGCAACTGATAGTCCGGGCCATTTGGATAACGCCCCGAGAAGGAGTTTACAAAGTACGAGCTCATTTGGGTGATTTTGGAGGGCTTGATTTGTGGATCGTGGTCGTTATAACCCTGTGCTTCACGATTTATGATGTATTAATGAATTATAGCGATGCACTGTACTTCGTTTTGCTATGTATGCGGCCAAATATGGGGGGGGTTGGAAGGGGGGTGGGGGGGCGTTAGGGAATCACGTGCTTTTGTTGACCAGTCGTAAATTCTCGCTGATGACCTCAAGAGGTAATTCATGCTCTATGGTTACAAATAATGACGATCCGAGAATCGTTAGGGCCGATTCAATGCGAGCCTCCGAGAGAGGGGGAAAAAGCAGAAGGGGGAGAAACAGGGAGAAGGTTGGCGTTGGCCTCTGAGCAGAGCGCGCCACCTCCCGGCGATCGATGGGAGCGCGGGCGGGAGACCGCCATGGCGGCAGCGGCTGCCTTCCTGCCGGCTCCCTGCAGCCGCCGGGAGAGAAAGAAACCCGGCCAAGGCTCAGTCACAGGGTTGAGCCTTTTCGAGCAGGGGTTGGGCTTTTTACCCACTTTCTTGTGGGTGGGGTTAGCCTCTCTATTTGGTTCCTTCTCCCTACATCATCATTGTCGTTATTATTTTAACTTTGGAGGAGAAGATCAAAGATTGAGTTGCTTTTCCCTTTCTCGGGCTTTGCAAGTCTCCGAGTTGGAGGCGGAAATGGGGGAAGGGTTGGAAGTTGTGTGTGAAAAACAATTATTGCAACGGGTTTTCCCCGGGAGCTTAGCCCTGCCTGCATGCTGGTGGGGCTGCTGTTGCCGGTCCACAGCGCCCAGGCCGAGCCGGCAGGACTGGGCGGGAGGCTTGAAAAACAAGCAGGAGAAGCGCTCACTTCTCCTGGGCCACTTGGAAGTTCGAAATTCCCTTCCTGACCTCCTTGGTGGTCCTTAACCCAGGCGTGGGAAGTGACAGAGCAGGACAGGGACCCCAGAAGCCGAACACAGCTGGGGCTAAGTGGCCTAGTTGCCGAAAAGACCGCAGCGGCCACCGCGTCTGCTGCTTGGGTTTGAGTAGTAACATGTGTCTGAGAGTTTGTAAAGCGGAGCCCCTTCGCCTCGTCCTACGCTATTGCATTCGGAGGCCCCACTCCAGGCCCCTCACTCGCAGCTGGGCAGTTTGAGAATCTGCCTGTTGTCAGCCGCCTTCCCGGAAAAGGGGTTCCAAGGACCCGCATGCTTTGCTGAGCACCCTGGGCGGCCAGAGACCGCCCGCAGCTGGTCCCCTATTAGAAGGGGATTATTTTCTTTAAAAATAATAAAGGAAGCCAGAGGGCGGAGGAATAAAGGAAAACAGTGGCCGCAACTTGCCCTCTGGGTGCCGGTGCAAGCAGAGAGAGAATGGGCCATTCCCGGTTGAGAGGATGACACTAAATGCCCCATCACCTGGCCTCCTGCCCTGGGGTCTCCAAGGAGCAAGGGAAAGTTGTGCCCTTCGGCCTGTGCCTGGCTGGTGGCTTTACATTCCCCTGCTTGAGGCTGATCTCCTACTTGAGGCTGACCTATTTGAGGTGGGAAGGGGCACCTGGAGCCTTCAGCTACAGGGCAAGAGATACCCAGTGGCCCCGTTTTTTAGTCTCCGGAGCCACAGGCCAGGAGCGGAGGGCCAAGGCTGTCGAAAAAACCTGGCCATGTGGACGGGCCAAAGGCCAGGGGTCTCTGCGAAGGTGAGCACAGAAAAGTGCTGCAGAGGCCCCCAGACTCGATGGCTCCGTCTCCGCAAGAGAGCTTAAGGGGCCTCAGTGGCTCCCTTAGTGCTGTGGACACAGGAGGAGAGGCTAGAGAATGAGAGGGAAACAGCCCCTCTCCATCCCCCAAGTCTGCATGGGGAGAGGCGGCTGTGAGCCTCAGCACCAGGGAAACGCAGCGCTAGGGCCTGGGCAGGACTGATCGCTCCAGCCTTTATCTCAGCTGTAACTTCCCAGTCGAACAGGGCTCGCTTCAGCGGGCCAGGGCTCTCGCTTTTGCTGAAGAATTCTGGCTCAAGACAGATGGAGAGGCTGGGGGTTGAGGGGAGAGTGAAAAACGGCAGGGGAGGATCGGAGGTGACCCAGCGTCGAGTTTTCACATCTTTATTATTGTTATTATTATTATTATCATCATCATCGAAGTATTTCACGTCCCGAGCTAAGACAAGACTACAAACACAACACATAGAAAATTAATAAAATAGAACTTTGTTTTCTTCTGAGGCTCCTCTTCTTACTTCTAGGTAGTATGTGCTCCTTCCAGTGGCTTTGGGGAGGGGGTGGGAGAGACGACAGGTCTGGGATCAGGGAGTCTTCAAGGCCTCCGCTGAGGGGACAGCGAATCTACCATTGAACCGTGCATGGGGGACATGGACGAAATGAGACGCGACAGGGACAAGAGCATTTTGCTCTGCTTCCAGGAAACATCAAGTGAGTCCGATCCTCAGTTCTCACCAGGAAGCCTGATCAGGCTGAGGCGAGTTCCTCGGGAAGGAAGGGCGCGCGGGGTGCTGGGTGGGCTCGAGTAGTGAGGCCTCAGAGCACCCACCGGGAGCTGTGCGGGCGGGGGCGTCCAGGAGAGAGCTGGGCCTCGCCTGTCGTGCGCTGGAGAGCAGGTCTCCTGGCTCCCCCACCCGAGAGCCTTCCTTCCCGGGTCTCTCCGACCCCCTCGGCTCCCCACAGGCCTTTCCCCTCGCGTCCTCCCTCCCTTTCCAGCACCTTCACTCGGCCGGTTTTTCTTCCTCCTCCTCGGCACTGAGCTGAGACGCGCTGAGCAGTTTGCTCTCCTTTTTCCACTTCATGCGTCGGTTCTGGAACCATATCTTGATCTGCCGCTCAGTCAGGCACAGGGCGTGCGCGATCTCGATGCGCCGCCGCCGCGTCAGGTAGCGATTGTAGTGAAACTCCTTCTCCAGCTCCAGCGTCTGGTAACGCGTGTATGTCTGGCGGCCTCGCCGGCCACTGGGCCCAAAGGAGGAACCTGTTACGCAGAGTGGAGATGCTGAGGCCTGGGGTCACTGGGCCCAGGGCCCCCTCCCCTAGTCGACCCTCGAACACAGACTCCAGCCAGTACAGGGATACCCTCCACTCTGCCGGTTCCCTTCCCCCCTTTCGCACTCCTCCAGCGCCCCCTCCAGATTCCCTCCTGGTCTCCTAGGCCTGTGCCGTCAGTCTAGATGGGGGAGGGGAGGAGCAGTTTGAACTCCCACCTGAGCCTGGGGGGAGGGGCTGGTCAGGTGTGTCTCTTCCTAGTTGCATCTTGTCTTTCCCTCGCTTTCCATCCATCTTTCTCCCCAACCCCCATTCCGCCAACCCAGTGATAAATCCAGGCCCTTAATCCGTAATGACGTAGATCGATCCATAGTCCACATTAACGGCTCCTCACTTTCGAGTCCGGCTAATGGACATCAGTTGGGACTTAAGGCCAACAAATAATCCAACCTGAGACCCCGCGCCTGTTTCTTCCTCTCTCGCTCCGCCTGCTCCCTCTCTCTTCCTTCCCCTTATTCCTCCTCCCTCCTCTGATTACCACTCCTTTCCTGGTGCCTCATCTTGCCCCAGCCCCCCACCCTCAGGGAAACACAGTCCCAGTCAGACTCAACTCTTCCTCTTCAGCGTCACCTCCTACCCCCTTGCATGACGCACTCCGTTTTTAATGGAGCCGTCTTTGGTTGGGGAACCCTACCAGGGCTGGGAGAGGGGGGCTGGGGGCGCAAAGTAAAGCCAAGCCCGTGATTGCGGGCCCCTGCTCCCTTTCCTGTCCTGGAACCCCGGCTCTGGCCAGGGGCCCCAGGAGAGCACATTCGCTCCTCATTACTCCCAGTGCGGCTGAGACTTTGCAAACTTTGTAACTCCTGCCTAATAGGAGACACAGCGAGAGATCCCGGGCAGGCACCCAATCTTCTTCTATCTTCTAACTGAGATGCCCACCCAGCACCCTGTGGGAGATTGGGGCAGGGGGCGCTCACTAGTTCTGTGTCCCGAGGTGGGGGCCCAGGGGAGTCAGGGCTACGGCGACGGGAAGTCTCACTCACTGTTGCACGAATTCATCCGCTGCATCCACGGATAGACCGGAGTGGAGCACTTCTGCTCTTCTGTCTCGCCGAACACGCTCTTGTCCTGCGCGCAGTCCGACTTCCGCGGCTCGGGGTGGAACGGGGGCGGCTCTTCGGCGCCCGAGAGTGCGCAGGCCGACTCCTTCTCGCGGTAGAAGGCCGGCGCCGGCCCGTAGTCGCAGGGCGCCGCTCGGCCGTAGCCACCGCCCGCCGGCGGGTAATAGGAGGAAGTGGCAAAGCCCTTGTCCTGGCCCGGCCCTGGCCCATAGGGCGCGGGGTAATGCCTCAGCGGGTCCGCATAGCCCGACGAGTAGAGCGGTAGCTGGCCCAGGAAGGACTCCTGCCCGCTGGCCAGAGTGACGGGGAAGGTGGAGTTCACGAAATAGGAACTCATTGGGAGGGGAGGCGCGCGCGGCCGCTGCTGCTTCGCCGGGTTTATGATTTGTTGTGTTTTATAGTCCGAGCGCCGCGCCTATTAGTAGTATATCCGAGATTGGGTTTTAGCTGAGGGGGGATGGCGAGGTGCCAGTGAGGGCCAGAAGGAAATACAACCATCTGATCCAACACTGACCAATGGCAGAGGCAGGAATTGTCAAATAGCACCCAGGAGGAGCGCAGCCCGCACGAGGGACCCGCGCACAAACCTATCAACCTTTTTTTTCCTCCTTCTCCTTCGCCTTTCTCTCTCTCTCTCCCCAACAACACAGCGCGTCCTGTTCCACCTACGTAGGATCTGTGAAACAGGCTCTGTGCCTTTGAGGGAGGAGGGAGCGTTTAGATTGAGACCACCCCACTCCTGGGTGATTAAATAAATATATCTCTCCCCCACCCCACGCAGGATTGGAAAAAGTTAATTGTGTTTTCAGAAAAGTTAACCCCTGCGTTGCTTGGGCCCCTTCTCTCCAGGGAGGGGTGGGTACATGTCTCGGAATCTCCTTGAGACAGAACTAAAGAAGAAGATTTGTTTCTAGGGTTTTGTGTCGGTAGAAGGTGAGAAGAGTTCTCCGCTAAGACAAGCAAAGAAGAAACACCCTCCTCCCCAGGTTTTGAACATCGTTCTTCCTGTTTATCAGATCTGATCTCTCTCCTCCAAGCCTCGGGTTATTGTTCCTGCTTCTCCACAACCCTTCTGTTCTGAGGGGGCAGGCCAGATCCCACTGCCTAAAAGACCCAGAAGAGGAGGAGCTGGCAGGAGGGACTGAGCCCAAGCTTCCCCTTCTGGCTCTGTGGCTAGACTAGGAGCTTCTTGGAAGGTGGCGATGGGGGCGGCTACCCAAAACATTCTGCCTGGTTCTTGTATGCAGCTTCTCACTCTTGGCAGGGGAAGGGGCACTGGGGAAAGCGACTAACCCTCTCCTCACTTGGCGATATGGAGTGAAGGAGTGAGGGGTATCCCTCAGCCTAGGCGGCTTTATTTGTCTGATCTCTACCCTGCCTGCAACCCTCACACCGGTACCCTCTGCAATCCCAAAAGACTTAAGAATAGCCTGGGCTATAGGATTTTCAGGAATCAAGTATGTCCCTATAAATCTGGGCACAAGGAAGAAATCATTCTTCTTCCAGTTGTGGGCTTCAAACCCTCCTGATAGTTGAGGCAGTCAGAGACCACTGGGAAGAAAGGAACCCTCACTCTTCTTCCAAGTCTCTGTAGGAGCTGCCAGTTCTTTTTGAAATTAATTTTTTCCCAAGACTTGGTTTTTGCTTTAGTTTGATAGGGAGAGAAGGGCATTTGCGTTCTCTTGGGGACTCAGCAGGCAGCTTCCAGCCATCAGCCAGCATTCCCTCTCCCTTCTGTCTGTGTCTCAGCATCGCTACAATTCCCTCCCACACCCCATGTTCATATCATCAGCTTTGCTGCCTTACAAATTTGGGTGTGTGAGAGAATGTATATCTCTGGCTCTTTCATCCAAGGAAAATGAGCATTGAGCCCAGGCTGGGAGACAGGGCCACAGAGCATTTCCAACATTCTAATATGCATACACAAGCCACATAGTGAAGGGTGACAACCTTCACACCTGGGGACAAGAGGGGCCAGGGCATGGAACAAAGTCAGATGTCAGGCCAGGCTGACCATCCTCTGCCTTGTCCTTCCTTTGAGCTCCTTTTTCTGGCCAAGTTCTCCACACTGAAGATGGAACAAGACACTAGGGAAGGTGGTAGAGGACTGAGCTTAGATAACCAAGGGTGGGAACTTATTTGGTTGCAACGTGGTCTCCAAGGCTCTCTGAACTCAGGGCAACTTCTAGGCTGTACCTTAATGGCAAAATGGCCATCCCTGGATGTCCCTCCAATCACTTCCTAACCTGACTCTATGGGAGTTTTTGATAAGCATTTAAGAAAACAAATTTAAACCCCCTGATCATGAAGAAGGATAAATATTCCAAACCTAGCTACGGTTGGGCTCGCTTCTAGAGAGGACTAGGGGCCATTTGAACAGGGGGGAAAAAGTGGGAGAGAGGGCGTGCATGCACCTCACTCCCTGCTGCTGAGGCTGAGCCCTGGGCCTCAGCCTTCCGTGCCTCCTCCCGGCCCAACAATGTCCCCATCCTAGCACTAAATAGTGTGATTTTCTCAGTGGAGTCTGAACAAAATAAGATCTGGTGAGGAAGGGAGCATTTCCCTGTGTCAAAAGCAGGAAAATAATTGCCCTATCTTTAGAATCACAGCCCCCAAATTTACCTCACCTCTGCAGGTTGCTTGTCTGGAGATGGAGCCACTACGGGCAGGGCCTGGGCGCCTGGAGTCGGGCATGAAAGGAAATAGCGCCTCATCGCTCTTATCTAAGCCCAGAGGTATTTATGAGCGTTTATTCGTCTGATCCGTTTGTTTGGGAAAAAGAGCAGGCGGGCAGGGCGGGCCAGAGACCGACTCCTTTCTGGAGCCAGATCCCTACGAATCTGTCTGTGGTTCGGTCCACCGCCCTCTGTCTGTCTCCATGGGGGAATATGTAAATACACAGCGGGCTCAGCCATGCGCCAGTCTGGGGTGTCTCTCCCTGCCTCAACGAGGAAGTGTGTGTTCAGAGAGATGGATAGAAGCGTGTACCAATTCTTGAGTACATAACAGAGGGATTGCACAGATACCCCACAGGCAGGATTTATAATTGTAATTTTCTATGCTGTGAGTCTGCAGTCCTGTGGGCAAGCTAACACATTCCAGCTCCCAGGAAAATGTTTCCTAAGTTGTGTTCAGTTCAGGAGAAAAATTCTTGATAGGTAACCTCAGGAGGGATATTTGCCTCTATGTGTGTGTGTGTGTGTGTGTGTGTGTGTGTGTGTGTGTGTGTAGTGTGTAGGGGGGGTGCTGAGACATTGTCCAGGCTTCTGATTTCCTCTAAGCTATAAGGCCCTCTCCCTCAGCTCTTTGGGGGTGATGAGCACCTTCCCCCACGACTCCCAACTTTGGCTGGGGTGGGGTGGAATGAAAATAATTCAACTCAATTCTCACCCTGGACTCTGTTTCTCTGGGTTTGGGGAACATAAATAAATGTTCCCAGGGGTACTGAGTGATCACTCCCATAGGTTGAGGAAGGCTCTTTAGATGAGACACTTTGCCCTAAAATTGGTCCGTCCAAATCAAAGTACAAAGACTTCATTTTCATTATGCAAATGAGCGGCATCCTCTTTGATCTTTAGGGGGAGTGAGCAGTAGCGCTGAGCCCATTCTCCCGGTTTCCTACCCGCACCCAGGGCGCAACCTAAAGGCCCTGAAGTGTTTCAGTACCATGTACCAGCTTGACTTCTCTACATGTCTTTTGGATTGTCCAAAAGTAAAACAATCTCCGAGGGGCCAAGGACCTTCTAGGGCTGGCTCCGTGGGGGCCTCCTATAGAGCACCTCGCTGAGCCGGGCCATATAGCCACCAGAAAGTCACTCTCGCTGCAGAAAAGCTGAAAAGAGCTGCTCTAGAGGCGCCAAAAGCGGGTAGGGGCCGCAGCCACAGTGTTTGTCCCCAGCACCACCAGGCACCTTAACCTCATCAGCTCCTCTAGCCCTGGGCCAGACTCTGAGAACACCTTGATCTGACTGGCACCGCAGGCAATTTCCTGGAACCCCACCCCCACCCAGGAATGGGACCACAGCACCTTTAAAGGAACTGCCAGAGCTTCCTCCTACGGCTTGAAAGCCCAAGCTAATCAGTAACCCGTGAGACAGGGGCCAATATTCAAACGCTGCAGCAGAGGCGCATAGCCTAGCCCTGGCCACCCCCTCTTGGGAAGGTGGTCGAGTTAAGCTGGTGTGAAGGGTCCAACAGGAACAGAAATTACGACGGTGTGGTTCCTTAATGATTTGGCCCCAGTCCACTACCAAATTTTTCCCAAATCATATTTAGGTCGACTTCGCTTGAAAAGATCGAGAATGGGGGAGGGGATTGACACTCACTTGCAGACATCAACAGTTTCCAGAAAACTCCGTTCAATTCCTTCACCACGAACCCACCAACCAAGGAACTGGCGAGACCCACCAGCCAACCAGGAGAACACAGACCCGGTTTGTCTTTTGACAACCGAGTGGAACTGCCGGGGCCGGCGCCTGCCCTGCGGGTCCCCTCCCTTGGCAGGGAAGAAAACCAAATAAACCTTGAACAGCCTTGGCTTCGGGTGTCTCAAGCTGCCTCATCCTCTCCCGCGCCTTGGTGGGGTGGGGGTGGGGTGGGGATGGCGGTGGGGGTCTTGTCCCTGATCCCTCTACTCTTTGATTCAGGGCCCCTGCCCGCTGGAAGCAGAATTAGACATTCTGAAATATGCCCTAGAGGAAGCCGCTTCCCCTGCCAGCCGCCAGGTTTGGGGCTGGGATGGGCGGAGACTGGGGGAGTGGGAAATTGGGGGTGATGGGTGGAGGAGAGACTTCTCTAACCCACACCGGGGAACCAAGATCCAGCTGAGAGCGTCGGCGTGGGCCCGAAATCCCCCGAATCCCGTGGACCCTGCGCGACCGGGTCTCCAGGCGTCGGGGGCACCGCTGGACAGTGTCGCGGGGCTTGCGGCGCCTAAGCCGCTTGTCTCCGAACGGACGGTAGATGGCAGCAAACCGCATAATTTGGGTCACAGCGCACTAAGGGAGGATTTATAACCCTCCAAGACTACAGGAGAAAAAGACCTTTAGTATGGGTGGGTTTGGGAAATTTTTCCCTTGAGAATAGGCCCCGAATGCCGTGGGTGCTGGCGGAGAACTCTCGCTACGAAGCCCAGCGGTCCCTCCGGGCTCTCAGGCTGGGCCTGAACCTAGGGCATCTACCTGGGGCCACAGAGCTGCCTCTTTCGTGCCACAAGTGGCCGCGTCGTCCCTCTCCTAGCTTAGGACTGGGATAATAAATATATCCCCACTTCCAAAACGCCCTAGACCCTATAACTCCGGGGCAACCAGAGGCCCGAGGCTGAAAGCCCTGCATCTGGTCTTAAGAAAGAGAAAAGCAATTACATGTTCATGCACACACCTAACTAAAAATCACAATCTCTCCTGCCCTGCACAGCCAACATCACTTATCTCTTGGCTGGAAGCTTCCCCAGAAACTCCCTTACCTCATTTTAAAGTATTTGCCTCAAGGCTGGCACCTACTTCCACCCCACCAGCCACTTTAGGAATCTCTGTCTCCTGCCCAATGGTTCTCTGCCCTCGCCACCCTCTAGAAGGCCTGACTGAGGGATAAAATTGGACACCCGAGGGACGGGACTGTCTGAGCTCAGTGCCAGTTAGCTTTTCAGTTTAGACGCCGCTAGGTCCCATAATCGGATTTTCTTTTTATTTTCTTCTTTCATTTCTTTCTTTTTTATTTTTATTTACAAGCCTAAAACAAAAATGCACTTAACGGCTTCTTCACAATCACCACGTCTGGACCCAGGAAAGTTTGAAATGTTAATCATATCAGACATACACATGGCAATTTTTTCCTCCATCGAAATCCACACATCCCATACCAATACAACGCAAGTAATAGAATCAATATTGTGCAGAAACCAACAGCTGTAACCTACCGCATTAAAACCACAAAACTGTCTCCCTGCAGAGCGAGGCTCCCTCCTGCGGGAGTGGCGAGATACTTGGGCATTCTCGGGCAGGCTTCCTGGTGGGTGTGTGTGGGGGGGTCTCTCTCGTTTTTGGTGTCTCCACCCACAGCCCTTTAATTTCAAAAATGTCTCCGAAGGGAGATAGTGAACATTTCTCTGTGAATTGTCTTTTCTGTGTTTCTCTAGCCGTTTCCTCTCCCTCGCCGGCCTCGGCGGAGATTCCAGGCCCTATAGAGACCAGGACGTCCCTTAACGCCACCGCCCCACATGCCAATGCTTCTGGGAACCCAGCGATATCCGCACCAGGCAAGATAACTGCGCGGAGGCAATAGCCAGAGGCCGGGACAAGGGAGGGATGGCAGGCGGGGGAGGGGGCAAGCCCACGGGGGCCATAACGACTGGCTTCTTTAGGTGCCACTGAAGTCCAGATATCCCCCCCATCCTCTTTTTCGCTGCCCCCTTGCTTGAGTCTCTCCTCCAAGCTTAAGAAGGCGACTTAGAGCTGATCTCCTGGCCCTCTTTTGATTCCTCTTCCCGCTTTTCCTGCCTTGGCTCCCCCTCCAAGAAGCAGCCACCCCTCTCTCCACCACTGAATTTCCTGGGAAGCTTTTCCCTGCAGGGCCCAGAGATGGGGTTCAGCCCCGTCTTGGAGCGGGGGAGGAGGGAGAAAAACCCAAGCCCCACCCCCCCACACACAAAAGCGATGCAAAAGAACAAGAAAATTGTAGAATCTCCCTTACCTTTGCAGACCTTGGGATTTTTTTTCCCCTCCGGATTGAAAGGAATGGGTAGGGAGGAAAGAAGGAGTATTCAGTTTCTTCTTCAGCTTCCAGATAATATTGTCCCAACGTGAGAGCCGTTGCTTCCCCTTCTCTGACTTGGGAGAGAGGGTGTTTCATTTTTCTGACATTTGCATAGAAAACGGAGTAAGTTCTGGCTTTGAAAAATAGTATCGGGCTGCGGTCCTGGGCAGATTGTCCATTTACCTTCCATGGTGACTAAAATCCCAGATCAGTGAGAAAATTAACTTAGGAATCAAAATTATTTTTGGTGCTCTCTTTGTGTAATTCCCACCCCTCCTTCTCTCCCTCTCCCTCTTGCGCGCTCTCTCTCTCTTTTCTCCTCACCCCCCTCTCTCGTCCTCTCTCTCTTTTGCTGTATCGAGCTGATACTGAAGTATAAAAATATCAAGAGGCTGGAGCCCTGAAGGACGACAGTGCTCCGACCTAGGTGTGGTGTCCAAAAGAATGCTGCATTATAACCACCAGGGAAATGATAAAAAGTTCATGTTCACGATCGCCCGGCCACATGACCGGCGCCGGCCAATCGCTGGATTCAACCACTCATAAACTTCTATCACAAAGTTGTAAATTTTCATAAAACAACAAGGAATTTATTGCATTTCTTCATGGCTGCTCCACCAGCAACCCTTTTCTCGGTCGCCATCTTCTTTTCTTCTCCTTCTCTCTTTTTGGGGAAACCCCAATCTGAGAAGGGGTGAGATTTGGGGGGGCAGGGAATCAGAGTGGAGAAGCCATAACCGTGCAGCTGGGAAGGGGGTTCTTTTCCGAACCTCCCTATTTTCCACAGAAGCTCTGCTCCCTCTTCGAGTAAAAGTCTACCTCAAATCCTCTGCATAGGGACTGTTCTGAGACAATTTTGGGGTGAGGCAGGAGCAGGAGCCGGTGCCTAGAGTAGACACCTTCATAAGGGCAAAATGAAAGCTTCAGTGTCCCCTTTCCCCCCTGAACTGGCCCCCTCATTGCTAGCCCTGTAGATGGCAGGACCCCCACCTGTGAGGTTTGCGGCATTGCAGGCATGGGGGCCTTAAATCCCCTAGGGCTTAGTGTTTGCCCCAGAAGGAGAAGTGGCCTGGATGGGGGCCAAGGCAGATAGTCAGATTCTCGCCTCCGCAACCCAGAAACTGGGGGAGGGTAAACCCGGATCCTGGCTTCTCCCGCCCAAATGCAGCCAAGTCCAGGTTCCCTTTGACAGCCCATGCGCTCTCCAGGGCGTTACGTGGTCATTAATGGGGGAAACCGCAGGTTTAGAAGCATTTTACATACAAATTCAAATTAAACAGATTATCCTAAAACCAACTCCCCTCCCTTTTTCTGTCCAAAGTCTGTTTAAATTTAAACAATCCAGGGTTTATAATCGAATAAATGCTAAAAATCATTTCAGCGGGTCTAGCTGCATAGACACCATCCTCTAAGTTTTGGTCCTGCAATCAGCGGGTGTTTGGAAGCAAAAAACAAAATAAAAATTCAGCCCGAGTTTCTCAGGTCTCCTGAAATAACCCCGTCTTTCAAGTTGACCTACCAATGCCCAAATTGAGGAAACGAAATAACCTCTCCCCACATATTTTTCCCCCTCTCTCTATGTGCTGCGGAGATGGTTCCAGGCTGCTAGCGGCGGCTCAGAGAGCGGGCGGAGAGGCGCGGAGGAAGCCCCGGGCGTGGCGCGGCCAGGCTCCGAGAGCGGCCGGGATGCGGCCACACCAGCCTGGTAAACTCGCACTGCTCAGGATCTTGCTCCCGGACTCATTCCCTTCCCCACCCCCCATTTTAAAGTTTTATTTCGGTCGTCTGTGTCAATTTAGAACGAGATAAATTAAGACAAAGGAAAGTAAAATAAATCGAAATAAAATAAAAGAATAGCTCTTGCCGAAAATGTTTGCCGTGCAAGCAAGAAGCTGTGAGCGCCCTAGCTGGAGGCTGCTCTGCACCGACTGAGAGGCCTCTACTCCAGTGCCTGGCCTCTACCCAACGCCACCCAAGAAGCCAGAGTGGATTTGGGTGTTCGTTTTCCCTTTCTTTCCACTATTCCTTCATATGGGGCCTAGCCGCTTGGATTTCAGCTCCGCTTTTGTGCCTGGGCTGCAGCCCAGATCCAGATCCTGCAGCTTGGTTTCCAGGCCTGAATGAGGAAGCGGGTTTGTGAAATTGTGAGGTTTTTGTTTTGTTGTTTTGTGAGCGTGTGTGACTAAGCATGTGGGCTCCTGAATGCGTTTACTTGGGGGCAAATGTGAATCTGTGTTTATAAGCCAATGTGTGAATGTACGTTGGTATCAATGTGTCTGCGATTGTGAATGTTTACTGGTGAGCGTGTGGGAACATGAATGTATATGTTCTGGGCGTGGATTTGGTGTTATGTGAATGCCTGTATGTTTATTTGTTAACATATGGATAGGAGTGTTTGTGACTGTGACAGTGTGTATCTGATGTCAGCCTGTAACACATGTGACAGTGCATCATATAAGTCAATATGTGTAAAAGCGTGTAAAGGGAATGCATGAGTGCAATATCGGGGTTCACTAGTTGGCAGCCCCCCAGAGCAGGAGGCACCACCAAGAAAAAGAACAAACTCAGCACAGAAATGAACCTGCATCAGAAGTCAGAGCCAAGGGGCTCTGGGAAGCTTACTCATCGCTAACGCTGAGCCCCTTCCCAGCTTTAGGAAGACACAGAAAATAAGGCATCTGTTTATTTTTAATTGGGTTTTATTTTTCCATCCTTTAGATACACATAGAATGTAAAAGGGAGCACAGGGCCGGGGGATGGGGAGCAAGGAGCAGCAGCCAGGCGCTTGGGGAACACGCGAGTGGTAGGTTTTGGGGCTCCCTAAGGCCCCTCGGTGCCACTACTGGAAAGGCGGAGGCTCAGGAGGGCAGGCAACCACAGGGTTAGTCCAGACCCACAGTCCACAATGACAGCATTAAAGAGGGCTTACAAAACAGCAAGATTTTACAAAGACCTTACAATAGCAACATAGAAAAGGGGAGGTAAATTCCAGAAAGCTACAGAACAGGTAGATAATGTCCTTCTCATATTGTACAAAAAAACCAAACCTGACAGACTTTCCTATAGGTAGTATTTTTTCAGTGTTGAAAAACCAAAATTTCACCTTTCTCCTTAAAAAATGTTTTTTAACTCCTTTCATTTAAATAGTTTTTTTTTTTTTTTTTTTTTAACTTCCCTATTTGATTTGAGTTTCCTGATTCAGCTCCCAGAGCTGGGCTTCTATTCCTCTCCTTTTCTCACGTCTCTTCCTCTGCCCTTTCTCCGTCCCTCACTCTTCCTCTTCCTCCTCTGCTTCAGCCTTGTCCTGGCTGGTGGTCCCGGGACCAGCGGTCTTGTTCTCCTTTTTCCACTTCATGCGCCGGTTCTGAAACCAAATCTTGATCTGTCTTTCCGTGAGGCAGAGCGCGTGCGCGATCTCGATGCGCCGCCGCCGAGTCAGGTAGCGATTGTAGTGAAATTCTTTCTCCAGCTCCAGGGTCTGGTAGCGGGTGTAGGTCTGGCGGCCTCGTTTGCGGTCAGTTCCTGTGCACAGCATTTAGAGGAAAATCAGTGAGTAAAATCAGTGAGTACGGAAAACGCCAAGATAGTGCCCACCTCTCTTTTAGACCCTGTATGTGATTTGAAGTCGATGGGTGAAGAAGCCCATTTTCCCACTAAACCAAATTCTGGCTTTCCATACCCCAACCCTTACTCCAGCTGCAGTTTCCCCTAATTGCAGAATTTTCTACAGGCTTCTCAAGGCAAACATTCCCATTTTCCATCCAAGAAGTCTCTTTCAGCCTGGAGCTTCTGAACCCAGGAAAGTAACCTGCTGGCTCTTAAACAGCTCTGCTCCTAAGGGGTGCAAGTGGGATGAGGGGAGGTTAAATTTCCTTTCACTCTCTGGGATCAAGGACCCTAAACCCCCTCTTTTGAATGCTGATCTGACGGTCTTTCAAGTAGAGACCAACAGAAACCATGCAAGTGACCCTGGAGTGGGGTGCCAGGCCTGGCTTGAGAGCATTTCCCAAGAAGAAAAGGAGACAAAGGGGCCCCAAAGGCCCAGTCTCCCCAACTCATCCCCAGCATGTTGTGGAATGAGAAGGTAAGAATTTGCAGATTTCCTTGGAGCAAACAGTTGGTCTGACAGCAGTGATCCTCTGATGATTCTTTTCCAGTGAGTAGCTAAGCTTCAGCCAGGGCCAGGCTGTCCTGCTTGCCTGCTTGCCTAGACAGCCCAGCTCTTTAAAGCAATCTTTGGGCCTCCAGGAAGGCACAGGGGAAGAGGAGAGACAGTAGCCTGGGATAGGATGGAACATGGAGTATCTGGGTGGTGGGGCTGAAGGGTAGAGGGGAACTTCTGCCTTAGGCCCAGAACCCTGAGGAGACTGAGAGAGGTGCTGATGTCAGCCCTCCTGGGAAGGAGTCAGGGGAGGAGGGGCTAGGGGCCCTAGTTTCAAGTCAGATAAAAGCCAAGCTGAAATGCTGACGAGCAGAAAAAGTGGGGCTTTGATAAATCAACTGGAAAGGCAGTTAAACTATGGAGCAGGTAAAGGGGTCTATAACCACCAATACTGATAGTGTGAGAGCCGGGCTCCTTCTGGCCCCTGATCATCACTGGGTTGTGTGCCTCTGACCATGAGTCTTGGGTCTTCTGGACTTTGGGGCTAGCTCCCACGTTCATCTGCTTTGAAACAGTGCAGAAAAGGATGTCTGGGTCAGACTTGGCAGGGACTCCATGGAACCTCAGCCTCTTGGGGTTCCTGTAGCAGCTGGCTGGGTGAACTGAACTCCCTAAGTTTTTATTTGGCTCCAGGGAGTCCTAGCCCCTCCCCCAAGAAGAGAGCCACTTATCTGGATTGACACCTCCAAACTTGGCCAGTTCTTTAGGGGTTCCTAGGAGCCCTAGGAAGAGCACCTGAGGAAACCAGCTGCACTCCCATGAAGCCTCTGCCCCTTTCTAGCTCTCCTGTTCCACTCCCCCACCCAAGTTCACTGGGATCAGGAGGCTCATCTCCCTCGGCCTCAGTCCCCTCCCTCCACCTGCCTCTCTAGCTCTGTGTCCCTGGCTGGGTCCTTTTCTCCTCCTGCCAGGCCTCTAGAGCCCACCTCTAATTGTCCTGATGGGAATAATGGGGGAGCGGGGTTGGCTGGAAAGGAAGGGGGAGGGGAGAATTGCTTAGCGCTATGGCCCCCTCCCCCATACCTTATCCGAGCTGGGGCAGTGGGACACACCCAGGGCTGAGATCCTTAGCTGGGAAGGGGGGAGAAGGGGGGAGACCCTAATAGCTATTCTCTGCAAACACCGGCCTTCCTCCGCAAGACAAACGGCCTCGTCTCTAGCCCGTGCCGGCGCTGCTGATAAATATTTAAAGCTAAAAGGCCGAGAGGAAGGGTGGGGGCGGGCTGGAGGCTCGAAGCGCCGTGGTGTCGACGAAGAGAGATCCGCCGGGAAGCAGAGCAAGCCTGAGAGCACCGAGCAAATATGGGGGCGGGGACGGCCTGCTGGGTCGCGGCCCAGTGGGTGCAGCCTTCCAGGCCGACCTCCGGCTGGGGAGCACTCTGGACGCGGAAAGGGGCGCCCTGCCGGGAAGGGGGCGCCTTCCGGGTAATGTGCCCCGGCCCCTGGGGCTCGGGACAGCTCGGTGCGCGGCGTTACCTGAGCTTCGCATCCAGGGGTAGATCCGGAAGTTACTCTCGGCCGCCAGGTCCGAGTCCCTCTGCTCCTTGGCGCCCGCCGCCTTGGCGGAGTCGCCGGGACACACCCCGGAGAGGTTCTGCTCAAAGGGCGCGCAGTGCATGTTGAAGGAACTCGGCTCGAGCCCGTAGCCGGCCGCGTAGACGCCGGCCGCGCTCTGGCCCGCCATGCCCCCCCCGCCGGGGTACAAGCCCTGCATCGAGGCGGCGAAGGAAGCGCCCGAACCCGCTCCATAGCCCGGGCGCTGGGGGTTGGAAGCAAACGCACAAGAAGTTTGTTCGGGGAAGGCTCCGGTAGCGAAAACCGAACTTGAGGCTGGATATTTAGAAAATAAAGCATTCGCATAATACAATGAACTCATAATTTGGCCGGATGATTTGTAGGCAGGGACGTTTTAGTGTCGGTTTTACGAGATTCCTTGATATATTACAGAATTAGAGTCCAGATTTACACCAAAAAGGACCCCCTTTTTCCTCTCTGGACCACGTGACCCCGCCCACGTGACGTCCCCTCCGCCAATGGCCGGGCCGCCTCCCCACGGCTCCCGGTAATACGGAAAAAATTGTGTGGCGTTGGATTTATAAAATATGATCAATAATGAATGGGATAGCCGAACCCTGTGGATTGGGGCTAGGGGCTCAAGGGCCGCTGCCGACTCCCGCGGGCTGGAGGCAGCTTGCAGGCGAGATTTGGGGAGGAAGAGATTGAGTGGAAGGGAAAATAACCTCGGGGCGATCCGTGTTGTCACCCCCCCCCCATCCTCTTCAGCCCGTTACCGAGCGAGAGACAAATGCAGGGATTGAATGCATGCAACTGGGTGGGTGGGTGCTTGGGGCAGGTCTGTTCTTTATTAATCAGGGCCAATTGTGCACGGCAAGGCCTTTTGGGGAAGTTGGTCCGGTTCTCCCAAGACGAGGAATGAGGCGAGCCTGGCTCACGGCTCTGTCTCTCTTGGTGCCCCAGATATGCGGGCGCAGATGGAGCAAGGCTTCCTAGGTGCTCCTAGGGCACAGGATCCAGCCCACCGGCCTTGAACGCTGCAGTTTCTGGTGGCAAAAAAAAAAAAAAAAAAAAGGTTTGAAAGTAAAAGAAAGAAAGGGGTTGGGTGGGTGGGGAGAGAAAGGAAGGGTGGAGGGTAGTCCGGGCGCGCTGCTCTCCCGGTTCCCGGAGGCGGATGCCTCAGTGGAGCGTGACTACCAGAGAAGCAGAGGCAGCCAAGGAAGGAAGGCAACCAGCCACGACCTCAGAACAGAGAGAAGGTGGCCAAGTCCCAGAGAGGGAGAGGCAGGGAAGAGCGGTCTCCCTTCTTCTGCTCCCCCAACAACAAGAGTCCAAGAGGAAAAAAAAGTATGCTCAGCAGGCCTGCACTCCTCCTTTATGCCTGCCACCCTCCCACCCCCGAAACACACACACTCGGGAGGACATACAGCAAAACAAAGAGGGAGGTGGCGGGGGACACAGCCACCAGCCCAGCCGCATGTCTCCAGCGTGGCCTGGGCGCCCTGGTCTCCCGGGCAGGGCAGCCTCGGAACGCGAGAGGAGGGGGTTTCTCTTGGCTCCCCTCCCTCGTTTTTCTCTCCTCCAATCAGGCGCAGCCGCCTCCTTCACCCCCTGCGCCCTGGGCCGAAGGACTCGCAACCTGCCTCCAGCCCCCGCCCCCTCCTCTCTGCGGCCTAGCCTCAGCAGGCGCAGGAGCCCTGTGACAGGCTCCCCACAGGTTCTGCAAGGCACCCGGGAGCAAATGAGGAGCTCTGGCCGGGCCAGTCTCGGGTTCTCGCTTGTAAACTTTATTGTAACTCTTCCGCCCTTTTCAGGCGCAGACAACAGAACAAAGTATAGAGGAACAACAAAATATATAATTAGCCCTCCCTCCCCCCCATAAAGCAATTCACGGATACAGGATACATTCTCTTCACAGTAAACCTAAGAACACTTGTAACAATTGCCCACAGCGCGCATGCTAACTAAAGTAACCTCTTTTGAGAAACACTTAAGACAAAATTGTCAAACCAAAGGGGGTGGGTGGAGAGGAAAAGAGAGAAGCCAGAGAGAAAGCCAGCGAGCTGGGGGGTGCAGCGAGGAGAGAGGATTGGGAGGGGAAATGAGGACGCAGCGAGAGAGAGAGAGAGAGAGAGAGAGAGAGAGACAGAGAGAGAGAGACAGAGAGAGAGAGAGACAGAGAGAGAGAAGGGAGACAGAATTACGGCGTGAATAGGCAGTTTCATGTTGTTGGGAGAACTTAGCAGAAATCGGTACCTCGGTCATTACAAAGAAGCACGTTCAAAGGAAAAAAAGACCATTGCACAAGGAGGCTTTTTACATGGGGTGGGGAGGGGCATGGGGGGCTCAGCCGGGCCTTGGCCGCTCAGCCTCACAAGGCGAGGGAGTCCTTGCTTAAATCCTTTTCTTTTCCCCCCGGCCCCCAAGAGAAGGGAAGGAGATCCACGGTAGCTCACACACAGAAGCTATTACGAGATACTACCACTAGCGGGGACTAGCGCGGCGGGGGACGCTGCGGTGGGAGGCCCGGCTCCTGGCCCCGCTAGCGGGGCGAGAGCTCTCTCGGGCAGGGGCGCGCGGCGGCTGCGCGGCCGGGACCCGCGGACGTGCGGGCGGCCGCGGCCCTGGCAGTCCCAGCTGGAGCCTACTTCTTGTCCCCCTTCTGCGCGTCGCCCTCGTCCGCCGCCTCTGGGGCCCGCTCCAGCTTCTGTTTCTCCAGCTCCTCCTGCTCGCATTTGCTACTGGGGAACTTGTCTTTGTTGTTCTCTTTTTTCCACTTCATCCTCCGGTTCTGGAACCAGATTTTGACCTGTCTCTCTGTCAGTCCCAGCGCGTGCGATACCTCGATTCGCCGCTTGCGAGTCAGATAGGGATTAAATAGGAACTCCTTCTCCAGCTCCAGGGTCTGGTAGCGGCTGTAGGTCTGTCGGCCTCGCCTGCGTCCGGCGGCTGCTGGGAATGGGGGAAAGAGCGAGACAGAGGGGAGGGAGGGTGGGGGAGGGGGCAGAGACGGAGAAGGTTGGAAGATTCGTGAACCAGCCTAGGAGACCAGTATAATAAGGGCAGGGGACCGTCTACCCCGTGCGGGGGCGGGGGGCGCGAGAAGGCCGCGGTCAGCGGAGGAGGAGGGGCGAGGGGGATCAGACACCAGTGAATGTAAGGGAGCCAGAAAGGGGAGTCCCCTCCCCTGGTAACCAGCACCAGAGTTGGGTAGGAGGTGGTTCAGATCTATTAAAAGTGCCATAAACTTTAGGAGGAAGGATGTGAAGGAGGGGGGAAAATAAGAATAAAAAAAGCCGGGTGGGGACGAATGAACCCACCTTGAAAATTCCCCAGAGCCTCTGCCCCAGAAGAAAAGTTTCTTCAGGGTAATTAAACTATAAAGCAATTGAGAAGTGCAAAAGTTGAGCGCCCCCACTCCCACCACCCTCTCTTCACTACCCCCCATAAAACAGTAAACGGGGGAAAAAAAAAAGGAGAGGAAGAAGAAGAAAAGTAAGGCAGGGTGAGGGGTTTATAGATTCAGGAAATGTTTCTAAGCGACCCCCTTCAAGGGAAAGAAAAAAGAAAGAAAGAAGAAAGAAAGGGAAAAAGCGGCAGGCGATCGGAACGGAGCCGGCAAGTCTTCCAGAAGCTGGAAGAAATGCGCCCTGGCCTGCCCGGCCCCCTGCCCGGCCATGGGCCCTCCCGGCCCCCTCCTGCCCCTGCCGGCCCCGAGGCGAGCTCACCTTGCGGGCGCATCCAGGGGAAGAGCTGTGTGGGCGACGGACTCTGCTCGGAGCCCTCGGCCTCCTCGCCCAGGCCGCTGGCGGCGGCAAGCTTGCAGTCTGCGTACTGCACCAGGTCTGGATCCTGCGCACCGAATAGGCTCTGGCGTTGCAGCGGGTCGTAGCCGTAGAAATTGCCGGGGTCCCCGTGGCACGCCACGGCGCACGGGTTCTGCTGGTAGGGAGCCGTGGACAGCGACGACGGCCCGTGGTAGAACTCCTGGATTTGCGAAGGGTGCTGGAAGCTGCCGCCGCTGCTGGGACCGTACACCACGGTGGGTCGGCCGCCCAAGTCCTGGGCGAAGCCGCAGTCATAATAATTGGGGCGCAGGGACTCCCCGGTTTTGTATTTGGAGAACAGTGAGTTGACGAAATAAGAGCTCATTTTATTGAATTTTGAGGCGGCGGCGGCGGCGGAGGCTGTAGTTGGGGGCTGTTGGGGAGGGGGTGGGGAGGGGGAAAGGGAGGGAGAGAGAAAAAAAAACGCGGATTCGCCGGCTTCTAGTCACCCTCGCCAGGAAAGGAGAGGGAAAGAGAGGAGGAGAAAAAAGAAAAGAAAAGAAAGAAAAGGCGAAGAAGATCTCGAAGTCGCCACACTTTTTGTGATTTCCAGGAATAGAAAAGGACAGAGAAGCCTCCAAAAGTCTAAGCTTGCATGGCAGCCGCGGCTCGCTCGCCCTCCCCCCACCCCCCACCCCCCAAACAAAAATATACCGCCACTTAAAGAGGTCCTCGCTTTACATTTCGAAGAAGGGATGCCAGTTCATAAACAGTTTTCGGTGATTTACTTCCCTGCAAATGAGTTGTTTCATATTTTGCACTGTCTTTTCATGATCATTTGCATCCATTAGAGACCCCGCATCCTATTGGCTTCTTCGTACTCCTCCCGGACAGAACGCAGAGCGAGGGTGAGAGCGAGAGAGAGCGAGCGAGAGAGAGAGCTAGAGCGAGAGAGCGCCAGGGAGTGAGGAGAGAGCGGAAAAAAAAAAGGAGGGGAAGAAAAAAACACCCAGGGAGAGAGAAGGGGAGAGGGGGAGAGAGAGGGGGAGAGGGAGAGAGGGTGAGAGAGAATGAATACGGATTAAATCTGTTTAACTACCTACATTAATGAGATATCTCTCGCCTCACAACAAATCAAATACCTTCGCAGACCACCCCCAAAGACTGATGTGGGGGAGTCACGGAAAAAAACACGCACACACACATACACAACGCACCAGGCGTAGGCACGCTGTTAATTTCGCGATTTTAACGAGGCAATTGGAGTCTTTCTAAATGTCAGGGTCGCTTCGGAAAAATGTAAAAGAACACGGTTTAATTGCGCCGAGTTTTAAAAGGTCCTATAAATGTAATTGGTATTTTAATACAAGTTATCAAATCATACAGCTTCCTCTCCTAAACATATTTTCAAACAAACGAGGTAGTCATATTTAAAGCTTTAATGATCAATTTCCTTATTATTGATAAAGGTTTAACTATCGTGTGGAGGGAATTGGCTGGGTAACCGGCCCCCCAAAAAACGGCTGTAAACTCTTTAACAAACTATAAAACGCAATAAAGCCGGAGTCTGTTGTTGTTTATGCCGCAGCGCATAAAAGCTGTTAGCATTTTACGAGTTCTTTCCTCTACAGCTATAAAACTGCAGCTTCGATCGCCCCCGCCGCCCGACTGCAGCACGGTGGGGGTGACGAAGCCGAAATGAGAATGATTATGGGGATTTTTTTCGGCACAAACGGTGACTTTTCTGAGATTTTCATCTCCTTCCGTCCTGGCAAGCACCTGCCCCCACCCCTTCTCTGGAGCCCCCAAAAGGTCCCCTCTCTGCCCTGCCCTCTCTGCCCTGCCCTCTGTGCCCTGCCCTGGCCAGTCACAAAACTTCCTCTCATTAAACAAATAAGCAAAGATTTTCTGTGAAACAGGGATCTGGGAGATCTTAAGAAGGGAACGGCAGGGAAGAAGAAACTTTCTGGTTAATGAGCAGTGGTTGAAGCACAGAGCAAAGTTCGAGCTGCCACTGCCGATTCTGCAGGTTTGTGCAATCTCTGCTTGCTGAAAAGGGGGTCTCCCCGAAGGCCCTTCAGCCCAGTCAGCACTTTTGAGGGCAGACTTTGCATGAGGGGAGAGGGCCTGATGCCATCAGAGGGATGAAGCCCCACTGGGCTACCCCACAACTGCACCTCAGGACCCAGTAGCCAAGCCCAATTATTAGCAGCTCCCAACCTTCTCAGGCCGACCCCCACACCTTCTGCAGTGCCCTAGGGTGAGAGGGCACCACTGAGCCCATCAACGCATCAAAAGGAAAGAAGGTTCGGTATCAGACCCTGGCACCTGGCCTTGGTGTCTGCTGTCCTATGCTCTCAGCCGCCCTAGGCAGTGCCTGCAGAGTATGTGTTTGGGAGGCATCTATTAGTCCTCAGTGTCCCCAAGATCTTTTGAGCCAGTCACCACTTAAACTGACTTCGGCGTGGGATTCAGATAGAGTAAGGTTTCTAAGTCCCCCATTTTCTCTCCTTTCCCCTTGGGGAGCCACTGGTTAAACCTGGCTCTCCCTGCAGACCTGGGGACCAGAGGCCTGAACACGGAAAGCTGGAACAAGCTGACTGGGTGCCACACTCTGTGGCCACCGCATTCCCTGCCTACCGGGCCTCACGATGATGGTGGCCAGGCTTTAGAAGGCCTCAGTCTGAGGGTCAGAACCAATAGCCTCCTGTAGCAGCAGATTGGTAAGGAAGAGGAAGGAGAGAAAGAAAGAAAATTTTGAGCAACAGAAGTGGAGGCTTTACAAATACATTCAATCCATTGTTTATTCAGGAAACAGTGGTTTGTTTTTCCACGGGCACCTTTTGGGGACCCCATACACCCTAACATTTGTAAAAATGAAACTCACATTTCCAAAGGGAACCTTACCAGTGAGGTCATTTAGTTCTTCAAAAGTGAACCCAGAGAATGAGAGAGGGGCTAGAAGGGGGAGAGAGGTAAAGGAAAGGAGGAGTGGAGAGAACCAGGGCTTTGAATTTTCAGCGCCTGGCTGAGGGGACCGTGAGGCAACGGAGGGCCGAGTTAAGTTGTTGCCGAAGCAAACATTTTTATCAAGTGCAGAGGATTTTATGGTCATTATTTGAAAACTCACCGGCGAGGTACAAATTCAATGGCTTGTTCTAAATCATCTCTACACAGTGCCAGAAATTCCTGATGGAAGGAAAATGTTTCTATTATGGAGTGGGGGGGGGACCAGAAAGAGCGAGGAGACAATTTATAAACACCCAGTGGAGGGCAGATTTATTAGAGAAATTCAAGTTGAGGAGAAACTCCGCTTACCTCCTTACACTGAGTCCTGGTGGGGGAGAGGAGATGTTGCAGCTGGGGTGATTTTGAAGGGGAGGGTGTATCTATTGCTGGCGCAGGTTTGTCGGATGGAAGGCAGGGATCCGGCGGGGCCGGGAGGACATAGGAGATTTGGAATGCAAGGGGCTGTGGACAGTCACCAGGGTGCGGGTCTCAAAACGAAAGTGCCTGGAGTCCAGACCTCCAACTGCTCAATGAGGAAAGGACCGGCGCCCCCAGGTTTGCCTGCGGCCAGGGCCAAGGCGCGCGGAAGCCGCAACTCTCACCTGGAAGCTGAGGAACCCAGGGAGAACCGAGCTCCAGCGTCCTGACGCCGCGCCCGCCTTCGCGCCCATGGGAAAACGCGCATTCTTTGGGGCCGCGCAAAGCATCCAGAGGCGATATCCGAGCTTTCCCGCACCCCGCTGCCCTGGGGAGCCCCTGCCCCGTGCCTAGATCGCCCTGCGAGAGCCCAGCCCAGCCCCGGACTCATACAAAGGCACCAGAGCTTGCGCCCCTGCGAAGCCGCCCTGCCGGCTCCGAGCACCTCCGAATCCCCACAAAAGCTATGGCTCCATTCCCCCACACAAATTGGGGGGTCTCGGGCTGGCTTATGCGATTGATTTTCTCTCTAGCTGGTGGGCAGCCCGCCTCAGGGCAGCTTCCTCTCCATCCTACCTTCTTTTGCCGACTCGCCCCTCTCACCTGACCTGCTCACCCGCATCCGAGGACATTCCTTTCGCCTCCCTTCACGGAAAATCTCGTTTTTTCGAATCAATTCTCCTTTTGGATTTGGACCCATTATTCCTATTATTACTATTATTCCCCGTTTTCACGCATTTGTTGCCCCACGGAACACAGCAACTGGGTGAGAAGCACTAAGCCCTCCTCGTGGGGAAAATTCAGAAATTGACCATTTGAGAAGATGGGGAACACTACTATAACTGAAATCTATAAAATGGGGGTAAGGCCATAAAGAGCCCTATTTTTTTTATTGGGGGCAAATTATTCATGACTTTTGGTAGCACTCAGTTCCTGGATTCAGGGCCGACCAAGGCGCGGTGCGGAGCGCAGACATCCTGAGCCGCCGCTCCTGGGAGTTTCACGTGGAGCAAGGGTGCCATCTAGCGGCTCCTTTGCGAAAAGGCGCCGCAGCCACCGGCTCCACCAGTTTTCTGGGAGAGTAGCCGCAGAAGCGGCCAGCAGGAAAAACTTTCGTAACTAGCAGGAAAAGGGGAGGGATAGGTAGCGGGCGTCGGGGATCAGGAAACGGTGCATGAAATTGTGTAGATAAGCTAAAAAACAGAAAAAAAAAAAAAGAAAAAACACCACACAGAGGAGGAAAACAAAAGAAGCCCTAAGCTTTTTTCTTTCTACGTACACCTTCCACCCCTGTCCCTAATTTCTAGTGGAGACCACAAACCAGTGAGCCCTTTGTGGCCTGTAAAAAGGGGGACCGCGCACTTTTCAAACTTCACACGACTGTTTCAAATCCTGAGGAGAAACAATTGGGCTTTTTGTCGTCAGGGGAGAGGAGGCCTGACAGGATGGGACGAGACTGTAAAAGAATCAAGAGGCTGCCCGCGCCCAGACGTCTGGCCCCGCCGGACCTGCGTGTGTGTGTGTGTGTGTGTGTGTGTGTGTGCGCGCGCGCGCGCGCGCAGGAGACTCCTCATTTCGGACGCCTGATTTTGGAGGGGGTGTGAAGAACAAAGACAAGAGTCCCAATTGCAATCTCTGAAGCATTTGAGACAACAGAGTTTTCTTCCCCGGCTTCTCTCCTCTCCCTCTCTGACCCCAGCCCCCTCATCCCCCACCCCGGAAACCCGGAGTCCCGCGTTCTGGGCGTGTGAGGGTGAAGGCTGCCGGAGCGCGGCCCTCCCATTCCCCCGCCCGGCCGGCAGCCCCGGCCCAGCTGCGGCTCTCTCAGCTCCGGAAAGTTTCCCCTCGCTGTTTGCTTTGCTGCTGTTTAGTTTCTTAACCTTCAGAAATTTATACGCTATAAACTTTTATAGCGGTCATATTCTTTTATTGCTGCGCGCACGGCATTGAATTCCTCTCCCGGCTTCTCTCTGCCTCGCACTCTGGCGGTCTCCCTCTCTGAATCTCTCTTTTATGACAACTGATTTCCCCATCTCCAGCTTCCGAGCCTCCGCATCTTCGCCTTTGTTTGTCTTTAAAGAAGCAGCCCTGGGCTGGGGACCCAGACGCTGCTGGCAGAGGCCCCTCCAAGCGCCCTCGCCCCTACCACGCAGCACTGCCCTCTGTTCCCCTCTGTTCCCGCCTCGCTGAGCGTTTGCTTTAGGCAGAAACCGACGTTCTGTGTTTGCTGTCAGCACTGGCTGGGCCTGGGTAGCCCAGGATGGGGCAGGAGCCTGGTCTACACCCGCAGTAAAGTCAGATTCATTTTGTATCCCCAGTGAAACCCTCCTTGGAGGGTGCCTGTCCGGGCCTGCCTGACGCCGAGTTCCGCTTTCTCCTGCCTCCTGCCCTCACTCGGATCAGTTTGTCCTTTCGTTGGAGGAGGGTAGGCCTGGCCTTTTCACTTGCAGGCTCCCTTCACTCGGGCCATGCTTTGTTCCCAACTCTACCCCAACCCGCAGGGTCTCCGCGGGCCGCAGTGTTGTCGGCTTGGGTTGGGGAGAGGCTCCTGCGGAAGGCCGGCTCGGGAGCGCCGGCACGGCCGAAGTGGAATCCCAAGGCCTGGATGAGAAGCGCAGGCTGCCCAAAAACTGCGGTCTTCATGAGAGGCTCTGGCGAAATCCCTCAGTCTGAGAGGGACAAAAAGGTGCCTCTTGAAACTGAGTTTAATTCTGGGGTCCTTTTGGGTGGTGAATTTTTCTACTAACACATTTCTGCTTCACACTCAATGCCCTCTCCACCCTTTGCAGAGGTGCTTACCCAGGTCTCAGCCCCTACCAACCCAACCCAGCTCAGACCAAGGCTGCTACCCTGTGGCTCAAACTGGAGCCTCCAACCCCAGCTGGAGGCCGAGAACCCTAAGGGGTTGGCTCCCTTTGAATGGAAGGAAGGAGATTCCAGCCCTCTGGAGGCCTCTGTCTAGACCTAGGCACCCTGCTGCAGGGAAGAACAGAGGGAAATTACTGTGTTCCTCCCTTGCATCATATTTTAAAGTGGCCAAACTAAGGTGACATTCTCAGGAGCTGCAGGAAGACCTACCTTCCCTCCTATTTTCAAGTCAGTGAGGAGGTCTCAGGACCTCATTGCTCTCCAGACCCTGTCCCCTCTCCAGACAACCCACATTTCCTTCCCCACCACCTCCAGTTTTCCAGTTCTCCTGTTGGAAGGCTCTTGATCAGTTTAACCAGTAGTCTTGGGACCTGAGGTCTGGGACTGGCTCTCAGCTCCACCTCTAGAGAGCTCTGCAGGGGACCTTGCCCTGCAGGGTCTAAGGAGAAACCTCCTGAACTCAGCTATCTTTTGTTGTTGTTTTTTTTTTTTCAAGCCTTTCTCCTGACAACTGGGATCTCTACCTATGGTCAGGCCCAGAGAGCCAACACAGAATAAGACACAGGAGAGATTTATTTTCTATAGTGATATATATTTTTTGTTCTTTTTCTTTTTTTCTTCCAAAACAAACAATTAGAGCTCTAGGCCCCTACCCCTCCCCACTCCCACCCAGAACCCTCCCATATAATCGACAACTGAAAACAGGCGAGACAATCACCCCCAAAGAAATCACGAAACACAAGCACAATTTCACGACAGCCACCGACAAAGCAAAAAACTTCTACTGGAATGTCCCCTTGCAGGATCAGGAGAAGCAGGAGCAAGAGTCTACGAATTGAAGGGGATTGAGAAGTAGGGGAGCAGGGGGAGGAGGGGAAGCAGAGAGTAAGCTTCCATCTGATGCTTAGGTGCGATTTTGCCTCTTTCCTTTGCACGCGGGACTGTTCCCCAGAAACGCGCGCACGCACCAGCCGCGCAGATCGGCATCCAGGCCCATGAAGCAGGAGGCAAAGCCCGGCCCTGAGGCCGGTCTCCTTTAGCGCTGGGGCTGCAGCCGCCAGGCCCGGGGCTCCTCCGCGTGGGTTGAGAAGCCGACGGGATTCGGAGGAACGCGTAGAGCTTTGAGCGCTGGGGCCATTGCTCCTCCCTGTCCCAGACCACTTGTCCCGGAAGGGAGCTTGGGAATCGATTCACAATAAATTTTCATTCGGACTCTCCTGGCCTGGCTTTCCTGTCTACAGTGGGGTTTGACCTAGCGGGGAATGGAGGGTGGAGGGGGTTTTCTACAAGGGGCGGCTTTACTCGCGGGTGCAAGGTGGATTCGAGAGTTGATTTCAGAGCTAGGGAGGATGCGGAAGAATGCAGGGCCGGTGGAGAGTAAGAGAAGCTACAGTCTGTCAAGTGGTGCACAGATGAACAGGAGGACAACATTGTCAAGGCTCTACGACCCACAGTTTGACCTTCTTTTGTTGGAAGGAGAGGGAAACATCATGCAGAATTAAACATTTCCTGCAACAAAATGTACATGTTGGTGGGAGGTGGCGAGTAGCTCCACCTAAGATACCTTCATAAAACCAAGTGCTGCCTTTTCTTGTACTTTCTAGCCCACCAGCTTGGGGGCTAGGTTTGCCCCATCTTCCCCATGGCCCTTGGCCTGAGAATAGTTGGCAACTCCATGGGGATGGTATGGCAATGCTGCAGCCTTTGGGCTGCAACACCTCACTCAGGAGTCTGCCTCTAGACATCTCCCCTGTGGGTATTTGCATCAGGGATAGAATCCGGGCTTGCCTGATGATCTGAGGGCTGTTTTGCCAAATTTGGTGTGCGATGGTCTGCATCTGGAGCGTCATTTCACTTGACTGAAGGGTGGTTGTGAGCTTGCCCCATTATTACTGTGTGGGTGTCTGCTGAGCTGTGTGGAGTTGGAGTGTCCCTGGGTGACTTTTGGGTGGGTGTAGAGAAGAAACAGGCAAGCTGGAAGTGAGGGGCTAGGACTTCCCGGAAAAATTACAGGGCATACTAGGAGCTTGACTAGGGTCTCTCTTTCCTTGTGGCCAATCACATTCTTAGGAACCAGCTACTTCTATCTTCTAAATCAACAAAACTTTCTCCTGACACCCAGGGAGAAGAGAGAGACAGGTAAGGGCAAAGGAAAGGAGAGAGGCTCTAGGTGCAGATAAAGGACTTAGAAGAGAGACTCCCTTCCCCATTCACTTGAATACATCCCAGACAACGCTGGCTTTGCAGTCGTCACATAAATAAGAGTGAGATGGGGAAGAGCTGGGGAGGACTGGGGGTAATCTTTAATCTTTACTCTTTGCCCTGCTCCTTATTCATTTTCTTCATTTTCATCCGCCGGTTCTGAAACCAGATTTTGACTTGTCTCTCACTCAGATTGAGAAGTCTGGCCACTTCGTGCCTACGGTCCCTGGTGAGGTACATATTGAACAGAAACTCCTTCTCTAGCTCCAGCGTCTGGTATTTGGTGTAGGGACAGCGCTTTTTCCGGGAGGAGCGAGCGTGCAGCCAGTTGGCGGAGGGGTTGGCTGAAAGAGAAGCAGCGATAGAATCAAAGGAAGGAAAGGGGTTGAAGGGCCACAGACCAAGAGGGCACACCCTTGGTCTCCACTCCCCATCTTGCATTGGAGAAGAGGCCACCTGGGCCTTCAAGTTCTCAGGAAGGGTGTCACAGATGGGCCAGCCACTACTATAGACACCTCCAGGTGAGAAGCTGTGTGGAAAGGATGGAGCCAAACGTAGGCCCAGGCTTCTTCAACATTTCCAAAGCTCTGCCTACATCAAGTTCCCTCTCAATTTTTCTCCACTTGGGTCCAAACTGCTTAGGACTCAGGTCAGAGTTCAGCATGGTTGAAGCCCCACCAGCAGCACCCCCAGGCTGACTAGGGGTGGGTAGCTGACTTGAAGGGTCCTGGCTCTAGGAGGTGAGAGGAGGATTTGGGTGGGGAAGTGAGATGTCTGTTCAGTTACCACATTTGGGGTGTCACTTCACCCCAAGAGACCTTTCAGCCCTTCAGTCTAGTCCCAGTACACCCTGCCTTGATCACAGACTTGTGTCTCTAGACCACATGGCAGCAGGCATGTGTGTCTGTGTAGAAATCTCCCCCTCTGTTACCACCACACACCACAAATATGGGTCTGCACTTAGAGCCACAAACAGGCAGCACACTCCAATTCACACGCAACGCAATTGCAACCATTTATCAACTCCAGCCTATGGACAGGGGAGCGCCGGGGGCTCACAGATAACTTATGGTTGCAATAGTCTCTCTCCTTTTCAGCTCCTGCTCAGCTCACAGTTTGGCTAACACAAGTTCAGGGAAATTGGGGAGTAAAATTGCTCCAGTCCCAAAGTGGGGAGCCAGGGGTGATGTGGAGGTAAAAGGAAGCCCTTCACAGCACACCTAGCCTTAACTGGTCCTATGTGGGGGCTGGAGGGGAGAAGAGGGTAACTGAGTGGAAGAGAGGAAACAAAAATATATACAGGCTTCTCTTCTTCTTACCCTCTCTCCCCCTGCTCTGGAACTCAAAAAAGTTGCCAAATAAAGCTAAGCCAATTAAAAATAATAGCCACCAGCTACTAGCTTCCTTCTCCCCAAGTGAAAAACACTGGATTTTTTTTATATATAAAAAATTTGGTTCATCCTACACTAAGTACCCTGTCTTACCAATTTGCAGTGCTATTTCCTTAATGTGATTGCCTGGGATGGGACCCGCAGCCGCATTAAATATGAAAGAGGGAAAAAACTGTTAATAATTGATTCTAGCCAAATGGCTGCCTTGCAGTAATGGGCTTTTCAGGGAGAGTTTGGGGTTTTAGGGTGGGGGGTCGGTTTGGGAGTGTGCGAGGAGAGTTGGGGAAGAATGTCTTCCCCAAATGCCAGCTCTTAGGATTCTACCTGGCGGGTTGGAGGTGACAGGGCCCTGCAGGGAATGGAGCAGCTCTTTACTCTCCAGCAGGCAAGGATGCACTAAAGAGCCCTGGGGCCACTCCGTCAATGGGAAACCTAGCAGGGCAAGGAGAGACGAAAAAATCCCTACTTCCCAAAAAGAGTAAGAAACGAGGACTTGATTCACCAGCCTGCGAGTCATTGTTTGGGGCTGAGTTCCCTCGCCGAAGGGCCCTTCTCAACCTTAAAAATAAGTAATAGGAGAACCCTCTCTTCTCACCTAGTAGCACCTCCTGGAAATCAGCCAGACTTGGCGTTCTGACTGGGGTGCTTTTGAGGAGTGGGAGGTGATGGGAAACTACCCATAAACGGTAAAGTTCTCCGCCTCTCTGCAACCCTATCTTCCCCCGACCCCTCCTCTCCCCGGGATGTCCCGATATTCGGAAGCGATTCCCCGACTCCCCAAGAGGCGGACAGCCCGGGCTGGGGCTAGGGAGCCCCGCAGAGAGCAGCGGGGTGGGGGGAGGACCGCAGAAAAGGAAGCGGCAGCCCCGGCGAAGATGCCGAGGAGGAGAGGGGCCACCAGAGAGAAGGCTCCCGGGGAGGGGCCGGTGCATCCGGGGAGGGGGCTCAGTCACCGCGTCCTGGGCTTCCCCCGCCCCTCCCGGCGCCGGTTGCGGACTCTGCGCGGCTACAGCACGAGATCTGCTAGGAACAATTCTCCGCCAAGCTGTTGCATCGCAAATAAAATCCTAATGAGCCCCCTCCCCCTTCCCCTTGGCCGGCTTTTACGGTCTGCGCGTGGAGCGGGGAGCTCTGCCAGCCGCACGGTCCCGGGCAGCCCAGTGCGCTCCGGCCCTTGCCCTCGCCGGCTCTCCGCCTCGCTGGCCGCTGGCCACCGGCCCCACCAGCTCCTCTCCCAGCCGTCGCCGGTCTCTGGCCGGGCTTTCAGCTGGGGCCTCCGGGAGACAGGGGGAAAGAGGGCCGAGAGAGCTGCAAGTCGATCCCAGAGCCCCTGTTCCCCGCACGACTTGAAGAAGTGGGGGCAGCGCTCCTCTGGCGGCCTCAGTCTCCCCTTCCAGAGCACGCAGCTTTCCCCCTTCCCTCCGACTTTCCTTCCTCTCCCCTCCTCCCGGCCCGCTCTCCGGCCACCGCCGCAGTTTCCCTTCACATTGTCGGCAGTTTATTGCCTTTCCCCTCCCCGCCCCCTCCTGGCCTTCGGCCTGGGTATTTCCTCACTTTTTATAACTTACTTTGATCCGGCCTCTCTTTGTCCTCGCTTCCTTCGCAAATTTTATTGTCCCCGTAGCCGGGTCTTTGATTAGACAGCACGGCCTCCCTGCCCGCCGAAGTTTCCAAACTGTACTCGGGCGTGCCCTGTTTAAGCAGCTCCCCAGGCGCGCCCAGCAGCGGCTCCGCCTTCACCGCCGCCTGGCCCTGCCCCGGGGCCGCTTCGCCGCGCGGCGCCGGCTCCAGCCAGGTGCGGAGGTACCTGCTCTCGGCCGGCGGGACGCCCTGGGGCTGGATGTAAGGGTGGTAGACGGACGGCAGGCTCCCGGACGCGTGCGGGCTCAGCGGCGCCCAGGAGGCGCCGAACACCGGCGCTTTGGGCTGGAAGCTGCACGAGGGGAACTCCAGGTGCTCCGCGTGGCCCGGCTGCCGCGGGCTCGCGTACTGGCCAGAAGGAAACTTGGCTGGAGGCGCGTCCTCACTCTCGTGACTTATGATCGAGTCGACATAATAGCTGCTAAGCGTCCCAGAAATGGACATTCTCAGACATTATCCGGGAGCTCGCAGGGGGAAGGGAAGCGCTCGCGCGGCGGCGCCCAAGCAGGGAGAGGTGGCACCCGGACCGGTGTGAGGGCTTTCGGACGCGACCCCCCCAGCCCCCCACCCTCCCACCCCCACCCCCTGCTCAACTTCTCAGCCAACAAAGTACAGTGGAGCAGCCAGGCTCAGCGCTCCTTGCAAAATGATTGGTCAAAGTTTTTCCGACTGCCTGATAAAGCGTCAGCTCCGACATAAATCAATCGGGCGAGGAGGCTGCGCTCTCGCTGTCATCCGTCCGCACCGCATTCCATATCGAGGATGGATTGTTTTATGCTGATGCAATGTGCTATCACGTCAGGGCTCCGGCGGCCACGTAACCTCAGCCTGAGCTGCCGGCTGCCCGGTCCCCCCTCCCGCTGCAGGAAGGGGGGCAGTTCTCGACATGGGGCGGCGGGGGTGGAGGAGAGGCGGAGGGAAGCGGCGGGCTGCCTCGGGAGGGACGCAGGCTGTGGAGCCCTCTCCCCAGGCGGGTCGGGGAGGCAGGGAGAGCAAGGGCGGAGGGAGGGAGAGAGCCCCAGCTCGGGGAGCAGCCACAGAGGCCCGAGACGATACTGGAAGAGGAGGTGGTCCTGTCCCCCCCAACACACACCTCCACCTCCACCCCACAGGCCCTCATTTCCTCTTCTCTGTCCCCTTGACAGAAGATGTTTATTAAACAACAGCAGCAGCAGCAGCAATCCACAGGAGATGAAGTAAAAGGATGAGGGGAAAAGTTTGGGATTTTAGGACGTTGTCCGCTTTGGAGGGGGCTCTCTGTGCACTATTTGTAGAGATTTACATGACTGGGAGCTTCCCTGGACCCCTCAGTAGCTGAGGGAGGAGGAGAGAGGTGAATAAAACGGCTGAGTGTCCAAGAATCCACTATTTGTCCTGAAATTAGAAACTGCTTGAGGTTAAAGGGATCCATCAGGCCCCGGAAACGTGAGCCTAGGAAAGAGTTTAATACAAGGAACCAGAGCGCCTTTACATTTATTGGGCCTTTCTGACTCTGGCTAGAAGGATGGATTTAAGATGGTGGTGGTGAGGTGGGGGCGGCGGGGGGGGGGGGGAATTGCCATTTCTCCTTTTCTCCACTGAATAACTGAATAACCACCCAGGCCCCTAAAATTGCCCTGATGAAGGAGCTGAATAGCAGAAAGGGTTAAGGACACTTCCCTGAGGTGTCACCAGAGTAGAGGCCTGGGAAAGGATCCCCAGTCAGCAAGGGAAGGGGTCCCAAGTTATCTCCCCTTCCATCCAAAGAGGAAGGAGCCTGGGCTGAGTTTTCAGCCCTCCTGTATCACTCCTCTCACCCAGGGCTCCTGCTCTGGAGACTTCCAAACACCGATATAGAGGCCAGTGTGGACAGGGAGCCCATGGTCAGTCTCTTCCCCTCGCTGCCTTACCCCCTGCAGACTGCCTCACTGGAACTTCCAAATAGCCCTTTTTATATATATCTACTCTGTGGCCCTGGGCAGGGACCCCTGGGGCCCACCGACTGGCTTCCTCGCTCCTCTGGCAGCCCCTGCTCCTCAGCTTCTGCCCTGGTTGCAGTCGCCTCTCCTGGCACTTGCGGAGGTGTGACCCTTGGACAGACCCAGTTCTCCTGGGGTTGGGCTCAGGGGTAGATTGGGAAGGATTTCTCCGCAACTCTCTGACTCTGCATCCTAATAAGGTAGGCTGCCCTCAGTCTGGTCCTTTTAGCAAAAGTGGGGCCTCTCTAACTTGAGGCCGTATCTTTTTGGCCACCTACCCCTCTGCCTTGTAGAAGGCTGTGGATCACCTCCCACACAGGCACACACTCCCACCCGCTTTTCTTTCCAAATGAAGCCATCTCGTGTCGTTACATGTGAAATACGAGGGTGAAGCGCCATATTTCTTCACATTATGGCGATTTCAAAATGATTTTTTAAAGATCAATGCTGGGGCCCAGCCGGTCCCCTCCTTTCCCACCCCTGCTCTCCGAGGGTGACAGCCCGGCAGATCCGTAACCAAACAGCATGAAGATCTGCCTTTTCCATAGGACCCAAGTGGGGAAACAAAAATCCGATGCAAATTCTTCCAAGTAGCTGTTGGACATTTGGGAAAGTCGAGGGAGCTCCCCGGACTCACCAGCGAAAAAGCTGGGCGCTGAGCGAATGAATCACAGTTAAGGCAAAGCACCTGTTCTCAATTTGCCAGCCCTATGAAGTCTGCTGTTGGCTTTACCTGTCATAAATATACTCTTCAAGAAAAAAGATTCCCTCCCCCGCCATAAATAATGGCTTTATGAAGCATGGCGGGCTGAGTATATGATTTCTGTAGTATATAAATTAGGGCCTAAAAGGACATGTGTACTATGGACTGGGGAGTTTTTATTTATGGAAAAGTCAGTGCTGGGCTGTCCGTAAGACCCAAGCAAAGCAGGCACTGGGCTCTGACTGCCGTCTTCCTGGTTCCCCTTCCCTCCCCTGCCCTGACTTTGCAGCTGCCTCTCTGCAACGAGAGGAGTCAAGAGGGCCACTCAGTTTAGGGAAGAAGTTAGAGGAAGAAGAACATTTGGGCTGATGGCTTGTGTTCTCCAAGGGTGAATTCTCCCAGCAGACAAGATTTGGGTTTGTGGGTTGCTATCTGCCTGAGGAGTTGCCCTTTATTCCCTGGTGGCTCCTGAGTCCTGGGTGAGGAGGGGACTCAGGCCTCTTTTCTGAGATCGGAACTTAGCCTTTGCTCACGAAGAAGCTGGAGAGTGGAGACAATTTTAAAATGACAGGTTTTGGAGGTCTTGGTCTTCTCAAGGAGCAATGACTCCAGAGGAAAGAGAATGAACTGGCCCCTAAGCCCTGTAGTCTGCATCCCAGCTCTTTGCCCTCCAGGTAAATGCGCCAAGCAAGGAGTCCTACCCCAGCCAAGCTTTCTAGAAAGCACTGCTGCTCCAAACTGTAGTTCAACTCCAGCTCGGGCAAATGATTAAAGGGTCAGCTGAGAGCCTGTGGACTCCCTCCCACCAAAAAAGTCTTGTTTTCTCCCCAGACAATGGTACTCACTATGAAAGAGGACAGCAAACAGGATTGTGGCCCCTGGAGCCCAGCTTCTAAAGACACTTAATAGAGGGGTTGCTTCAGTGGGGGTCACTTTATCCTAAGAGAGTGAAACTGCTCCGTACCCCACCCCCAATCCTAAACAGAAAAAAGGAAAACACTGCCTTCCCTTGCAGCCTTTTGCCATTCCCTGCACTGGAGCCTCGCCTGAACACAGCTGGGGCCAGTAGCTGGTAGCTTGGAGAAGGGCAAGCAGGAAAAAGCGGCAGCTCCCGGCCACACTGGGGCCCAGAGAAGCCAACAGCGAGGCCGAGGTTTGAAGAGCAGAGGCCGACCAGCCGGTGAGTGCCTGTGCTGTGGGGGTGACTTTTGGAAGGGTCCTTTTCAGTAAGAAGAGAGATAAAAGCTAGAGGAAGGGAAGGAAATGGGAGAAGAAAGAAAAACAGTAAGTGAGAATGGGGAAAAATAGTTTGTTTTTAATTAATAAGCTTAGCTGAAAAGTATGCATGTTTTATGTAAATAGATGTGTGTGTCCTATATGTATATTTCAAATCAATATTTCTGTACGGGAAACCCAGTGTGCAAATGCACTGTGCTCTATACTGTGTATAGAATATGTAATAAATAAATCTGCCCAGCTATGAAACTTGATGTGCTTGGGTATTCGTGTATGCAGGTAACCCCTGTGAGTGATGGAGGTTTAAGATTCTGCTCATGTAAGATCAGTTGCCCAAAAGCTTGTGTGTACATTTTTATAACCATCACACACCTATGGAAAAGCAAAAGCTTGGGTATTTGTGTACTTGAATTATGGCTATAAAATACTAGCTAATTCGGATGTCGCACTTGAAAATCTGTCCCTTGACTTGATATTCAAGCAAAATATACAGCGTATCCTCAAACAAATGCATATGACTTAACACTAGATAGATTCTACGACAACTTCTTTCCAAAATGTTTCTCTGGAAGGTAAAAGAAATGCTTCATATTGGCCCAGAAGAGGTTATGAAATTTTGTGACTTCTTTGTTGGACCATAAAATCCTTTACTGTGCTTCTTACCCAAGACCACAGGGACGATGTGCATTGTGTGATGCTTATTTCATGATAGCTATGGGTGCGGGGGTGGAGGCACAGTTACTTACAAGCACATGTGTCTCACAGAATTATGAAGCAGCAGTGGACAGAGATGAGCCGAGTGTGAAAGTGACTGTGGAGGTCAAGCAAAAGCACTGCTGTGTACAACAAAATTAGAAAAGTCCCCAAATCTATGTCCTCAAGCACCAGAGGTATTTTTTCTGACTCCAGATCACAGTCCAGACCCACTCTGGGAAAGAGTGAGGCATGAGGACACTTGTCCCAGTGGGAAAGGGCACAAGATCCCAGAATCCTTACCCTTTACGCAAAACGGCCTCCAAAACAGGTATCACATTGAATCTGCACACTCAGGTGCAAACCTCGGTGCTTCCATACCCCCCAAGTGGGGATCTTAATAGTGAAGCAACGAAATCTTCTGCCAAACCTCCCTCCCAGGATGTCAGAGGTGAAAGGAAGGACTGAGAGGTCAGTGGCCCAAGCCGACCTCAGGAATCTTCTTACCAACTCTCAGCCATCAAGGATATCCAAGGCGGTGGGGGTGGCTGACTCCTTGGGAGGGGGCATCCAGGAGGCCAAACGGGGTGGGCGGCAGGCAGGCGGAAAGGAGGCGAGCAGGTAGAAGGTTATTACGAAATTGCTTCCATAAAACCTGTGGCTGTTGTAAAACTCTGCTTTCCAAAGACTTTATTTCCTCCTTTCTCTCTAACATTCCCCTTTTTTCTTTTTACAGCACTTTTCCTGGGAGGGGGTGGCCAAGGGACGCCAGGGATGGAAGACAGTCAGGCTCTGAGTGACTGGGCAGGTTTGTGAGAGGCCCAGGGAGAAGTGAGATAAGGCTGCAGGGACGTGCCAGGCCATCTCCACCCAGACCAGAGGATGAGAAACTGTCAAGGGACAGAGTTGTTGGCCTTTGCTTATCAGGACAGTGGGTTGAAGGTTGCATTTCCCCTAGGCTAGGGGTGGGTCTCCCTAATGCCCCTCTGCTCTAGCAGAAGCCCCTGGCCCTCCAAGTCAGCCTGGCGCCGAAGCCCCATCCGGTCCGGCCTCTTTCCTGGGCCCTTTTGCACGTTTCCTCTGCCTCAAGCAGGCGGGCTGGGGGGTGGGGGAGTTTGGGAACAAAAGTTAGCTTATGCTTTGGAAAGTCCCCCTTCTTCCACCAGCACTTCTAGTTATTCCTTTCCTGGCCACAGGACCAGCAGCCTTAAGAGGACCGAGGTCAGAGAGGGTACCACAGTCTCACCCTGTCCAACCCCTGGTTCCATCCTTTGTCACTGCATCAGTTGGGGTTGAATTGTCCAACAACCTGGGCTCCCCATTAGCTTGCAAGTCAGGCCCCTCTCCAAGGGGGTGGCACTCAGGACCTATGTGTACCCCCAGCCCAGCCCAAGGCCAGAGGGAAGCTCTGGCCACTGGGGTGGGTGGTGAGGAAAAAGTCAACTGAGGGATTAGGAAAGGAAGGACTTTTTTGACCTATTTCTGTAGGTCCGGTCCCATAGGGGGCCTTCGACAGGACCCTAAGGGCTTCAGACTAAGAGTGCAAGAGCTCTAGATGTTTCCCTTTCAGAATGAGACCTACTAAGCCCTCTTCAAGGACCTGAAGCTTCCCGCTGAGGTGGAGCACCAACCCCCAAAGAGTTACAAAAACCTCAAGAACCCCCCTATGTTTCTTTTGAAATCAAATATTTGTGAAGTTGGGGAGACTTTCTCTGGAAAGTTTTGGATGTAGGTGAGAGCTCAGAGACCCTAAGGCTGGAAGCTTGGAGCTCTGACTGCCATCTTTGGGTTGGGCTGAACAGCTCAACAGGGCCAGGGGGGTGCCTTGGGAGAGTTGACTGCTCCTTATCCCCCTTTCCCTCCTAACACACACACACACACACACACTTCCCAGATCTTTTCTGGGAAACATCCTTGTTGCTCCTGGATGAAGGACCTCAAACCTCTTCCCCATTTTGCAAGGTTGATCCTCCAGTCCTGATTCTGCTCCCCTCCCCCCACTCCTCCAGCTAAGCGAGGAGCAGTAACTGCCGTGAATCGGGTGGTTTAATGTTGTTGTGTTCAGAAACCCAGGCCCAACAACATGAAACTACCTAATTCACTCAGCAGTTCCAGTTCAAGCTCTAGGTCAAGGGCTCACTGGGGGCAAACTTTGTGGCCATTTTTTGTGGGCCAAAAAGCGGCTTAACTTCATTTTCCTCCACCTCTTCCCCAAGAGAAGAACCCAGTTGCTACTAAACAACACGTCGGAAGAACTGAACCCAGGACTCTAGGCAAAACCATTTTGTAGCCAGTCCTGACAGCTCAGATTGCAGAGACATTTACTCCCTTCCAGGAGCCCTGGCCAGAGAAGACCCTAGGCACAGGCACAAGCCTGGGCAGGGCCTCTTTGATATACCTGCTCAGTCTCTGTCTCTCAGCCCAGCTGGAGGTCTCCACAGATAAAAAGAATTCTCAACTTCAAACCGATACAAAGGTGCATCTACACTCAGCACCCCGCTAGCCCCTGTATTTCAACTCACCCAGCTTCCCAGTGTAGCTCTGAGAGGCCAGATCTTCAAGTCCTACACATCCTCCAGCTTTGAGACTGGGGCGCAGACAAGAGAGTGGGGCAAAAGAGCGCCGAGAAAGTGCCAGAGAGAAAGGTGGAAAAGCAGAGTGTCAGAAAGTATCGGGAATTCTAGGAACAAACAGAGGAAGAATGGGATTTGGAGGGGAAAGCTGGTTGATCTGAACAGTTGCTGTGAAGGCACCCTGCCCAAAATGTCCCAGGGTCCTGGCTCTGCAGAGGCCGCGCTGCTCCAGGTAAGACAATTCATTCCGAATCTTCGCAGAATAAGGACTAAGAGGCTAAGGACTGTGATTGGGGCGCAGAGAACAAATTTGCTTCCTCCTTCCTGACCTTGGGTCTGGGTCCTTGGCCCCCTAACGTGCCGGCTCCTCACCCGTGCCTCTCCAGACACCCGCCTGGTCACAGGTACTCACGCCCACACCCGCACCCATCCCAGAACCGCGGCTGTGCAGGCCGAGGGCGGCGGCGGACTTACCTGGGCGGCGGCGGTGCCGGCCGTGCACCGCCGTCGGAAGGTGCGGAGCCAGCGGCCGCGGCCCAGTCCAGGCTCCCGCCCGCCCTCGCCCCGAAGCGAGGGTCCGAGTGGCCACGTGTCCGGCAGGGAAGTCCGAGGTAGCGAGGGAGTCCGCCTGGCCGCCCGCTCCCCCTCCCGGGTATAAATCTTGGGGACCGGAAATACAATAAAACTTCACCGTGTTGATGAACTTCAAACGGTTTACATCCCCTCCTGTCCTGAAAAGAAAGACGTCCGGGGGCGGATTAAAAGGAAGGGGAAACAAATTTACGAGCGGCAGAAGCACCCGCCTCGGCCCCTTTCTTTGCCTCACACTTTGTCCGCGTGGAGAGAAGCAGCCCCGACCCCCGGGCCTTGGCCTCCGCCGAACCGGCCGCCAGGCGCGCTCCTCTTTCGGAGGAGTCCGCGCTGACCCAGCCCGCGCGGGGCAGAGACTGGAAGCCGCCGCCTACACGGAAAATCCACAGAACCCCGCGCACACCCTACGATCCGCTCGGCTCGCCGGGCTTGGGATGAGGTTCCCCGCTCCTCGCCAAAGCAGAGCTGGGCTCCCTGGCGCTTCCTTGTGAAAGCCCAGGCTCTCCCAACCACGCCCGGTGGCCTCCATTTTTTGCATCTTTCCGCTGAAAGCGGGTTTTTTCTTTTCTTTCTTTTTTTTTTTTTTTTTCACACAGAGTCGCGGTGTGTCACCCAGGTTGGGGTGCAGTGGCAGGATCTCGGCTCACTGCAACCTTCGCCTCCCGGGTTCAAGCGATTCTCCTGCCTCAGCCTCCCAAGTAGCTGGAACTACAGGCGCCCGCCACCACGCCCTGCTAATTTTTGTATTTTTAGTACAGACGGGGTTTCACGATATTGGCCAGGCTGATCTCGAACTCCTGACCTCGTGATCCACCCTCCTTGGCCTCCCAAAGTGCTGGGATTACAGGCGTAAGCCACAGCGCCCAGCCCAAGGGTTTTTTGTTTTTGTTTTTTGTTTAACTTTACTTTTATCTTTCCTTTTCCGTTTCTAGCGACCAGACCTTTGCCCAGCCCTGCCCGTTTATTGCCGGGTACTTGCTGGAAGGGGGCAGAAGATAAGACTCCGGGTGACTCCCAAGGCCTGAAGGGGGCTGAGTGGGCCGGGGGCTCCCAGAGGATAAACCCAGGGGTCGGTCGGTCTTCCTCGGGGTGGAAGTGAGAGCCACTCTGCGTGGCGGAGCTCCACCACCATCTCCTCATCTCTTTAAAGCCTCAAAATCAAATAAAACCACTACTACCCAGGCCTCAAGTTTCCATAGTTTTTGCCTGCTCTGAACCATTTACTTTGTTCAAAACTTCGTGGAATCCAAATTCTCTACTAGGCCTCCGAACCAAAATGAAGGAAAATCCCTTTTCATCTTGGGCTTCAGAGAACTGGGAGCAAAGTGATTGACGTCCTGCTCCTTTTGTCTGCTCCAGGGGCCTGGTTAGGTGCCTTTCTGGATGGGAGAGCAAAAGGTTCTCCATCCTGCCTCACAGTTATTCACCCCAAAACACCGCGAGTTCAGTTTTGAGACACAATGGATGGCTAAGATTAGCTCAGGCTGAGGCAGAGTGTTCAGGTACGGGAGTGAGGTCCAGCTGCAGGCCCAGGAGGGGGTTTAGTGCACTGAAGGCATCCACCTTCCCATAGATACACACATAGATAACCCCACTCCCCAACCCCAAGAAAAGGCACCAAAGTGCTGCTGGATGTTTTAAAAATCCGATAAAAAAAAAAAAAAAACAGGCAGGGAAAATACTAGGCAGTACAGGTTTTGAATTTTCTGAAGGGCTAACTCTGCTGCAGGCAATCCCACTCTGCCCCAGCTCTCCAGAGGTGGGTGGTGGTTTGGGGGCAGTGCCCTCTGGCCCCTTCCCAGCACCAAGAGGGAGGAAGTGGGGAGCTCTTTAACTGCTGGAGGACAGTAAGTATCTTATTTCTGGCCAACATTCATATTCCAGGATTTGCATGGGGAGGCCCCTCCAACCTCTCTCATTTGCTCTTTATCATGTTATATTTTTATTCAAAATACTGAGATGGCAGCTACTGGCTGTCACTCCTTCTATCAGGATTTCCCTCTGGGAGGAGGGCTGGACTGAGGGGCCAGCAGTTTACAGACCATTCAAGAGTGTTATTACCCATCCCCTACCAGGCACCTGGTGGGGGCCGGTCGGTGTGCTGGTTCCCAGCCTGTTGCTGGCCTGGGTCGCTGTGGCTCCCTGGCTGAGAAAAGGAGATGGAAATCTTTTATAGTCTTAGACTCTTAGGAAAAACTGAAGAGATTATAGCCCTATGATGATGCACCTGCACACCCATATGTTTTGCATACATTTCCAGGGGGTTTGTGGCTTCCTCCTACCCCCATCCCAAGAACCCAGGCCATGGATTCCAGTTAAAAAAAATAAAATTCTCTGTATGGTGCCAAAGGACACCCCAAAGCCATTCCCACAGATACCAGCTGTGTCTTTCCGAGGGCTCCCCAAAGGAGAAGTCAACTTTCAGAAGCTCAGCACGGACACCCATGGCCGGGGTGCTGGTGCCGCTCATACACTAACTAGCTGAGATGATGGTCACTCAGTGAGTAAAGGCCAGTTAGGCAACATTTCTTTTCACCCCCAAACGTTTTCCAAACATTTTTCCAAAAGCATGTTGATCTCCAAATTAAGAAAATTGATGGCCACGCTGGAGGGTTTAGAGGTAGCTTCTCCCCACTCCCTTTCTTCCTTGAAGATAAAGCAGAGTTCTAGCATAACTGGAGGGGGGGCTGGACAATTTGGATGGTGAGAGAAGGCAGTGTAGACACAGACGCAGAACACAAGATCCTTAAAAATTGAGACCCTCTTCCATTTTGTGAGAGTCACAAGAATAAATATTTCTGGGACTTCCTGGCCCGTCTCCCTTCACGGGGTTCATTACGGGGCGGGGAGGGAGGAGACAGTCTCAGAGAAGTCAGAGGTGCCAGAAGCCGAGTTCCTAGACCCCTTCCTATTTCTGGCAGCGGGCGGCTGGGGAAGCAGCTCTTGTGGTCTCCCGGCGGGTGAGGCCGAGAGAGAAACCGACCTCTAGGCGGCGCCCTGGCGTTGAGTCCGCGCTAAACAAGATTCTCGCCCAGCTCTGCGTCCCGCGCCGGGTGAAGGGGCCTGTTCCCGCAGGCGCTCGGGGCTCGGCCTGGAGCTGGCCGCCGGCATGTCGCCTTTGGCGCCCTCTGCCAACCAAGAGAAACACGGTTAAATGAGTGCGCTGGGACAGAAATCCACAGCTAATCAAGGCCCCATCCGCCCCCACCCCCTGGCCCTTACCTTCTAACCCCATCTCCTACGCTAGGGAGCCTTCCACAGTCTGAATCTCCTTTGATCTCCCCAGCAGCAGGCTAGAGGGCAGCGCTAGCATCTTTAACCCCCTCCCCCAGCTTGCAAAAGAAGACACTGAGGTCCGAAGGAATTAAGTGATTAGCCCAAGATCAGAGCAGCTATTAAAAGTGGTGAAGCAGGGCTGGAGGAGGAGCCCTCTATTCCAAGGGTAATGTTCTTTATCCGAAATTACCATAACCATTCACCCCCTCAAAACGTGTCTTTCTTGTAAGCAACATTCATCTCCAGAAAGGCAGCTTTTTGGTGTTTTCTATGTTGGACGTTTGGCGTTTCTTGAGTTTCAAATTTGTGGAGGCCCATGAGAAAACTGGAGGCGGACATAGGGACAGCTGGGCCAGGATTCAGAGCCAGGACAAATCCAGTCCCCTCTCTTCCAATAAATGCCAACTCCTCACTTATGACCTCCCTGGCTGCACAACCCTGGCCAACTGCCTTAGGCCCCGAGGTGCCCAGATTAAGACCTACTGGACAGGGAAGTTGAGAAGTGCGAACACTTGGTGAAAGAGGCTCCACAACTAAGAGAAGCTGCCAGCAACAGGACTGCTCCGCAGCCCCCAAACCAGGGGTGTTAGGGCCAGTCAGGCCACTCTCCTACTTGACCCAAATAGGGCCTCTTTGTTAAATTCTTGTGGAGCAAGGAAAGAGAGGTCTTATTCTGGAATGAGCCCCTCAGAGACGTCCAGGGCCTAGGAAGAGCAGGATAGGAGAAACCAGGGTCCCTCTTCCCCTTCCCCTGTGGCAGAGATGCCATTTTATACTGCAGAGCCCTCTGAGAGACATTTCTGCAGTTATTCCTAAAACAGAGGCACCAGAGAATCACCTGCGGAGGAAGAAGGGAAGAAGAGGAGGGACAGGCTGCTGGGACCAGGCAGCAAAGGACAGGCACCTACTATGGGCCAGACTACGATGGGGTGCCTGCTGGGATCTGCAGTCCCACAAGAGGTGCATTTCCCAGCCGGGCACGAGCTCTTGAGGATGCCTAATTACCCAGCGCACATCTGGAGCAGCTGCGCCCTCGGACACATTATTTCGCTCCAACCCCTATTTTCATTCCGGAGGTTGAGTCATAAAAGACTCTAGAGGCAGAATAAAGTCAGGTCTGTGTGTGTCAGCATTCCTGTGTGTGAGTGTGTGTGTGAATATGTGCACGTCCGGGGCGACGTCTGTGCATCTCACTGTGATTGCCCAATGGATTCGCTAAAGTTAAGGGGAAAAAATGGAGCAACATCAGGCGAATTCAACTGCGAACATACTGTCAGCCTCATTATCCGCCCATTTCAAGGGAAAGCATTTGGGTCTTGGAATTAGCCAGTTAATTGCCTCACTTCTTTGTTCACTTTAGGGCAGGAGAAACTATCTGCATCCTATTAAAGCATTCTATATTTCAAAACTTTAAGATCTCCTCATTCTCAATTTTCTTTATTTCTATCTTTATAACACTTGAGCACTCAGATCTGCCCGTATCTCTCTCTCTCTCTCTCTCTCTCTCTCACACACACACACACACACACACCTGTTTCATGCTTGAAAAGTAACTCTTAGTTTCTGCATCTGTAAAATCTGGTATCTTAACTCTTAAAGTTAATGTAAGGATTAATTAATGTACTATGATTTACTATGTGTCTAGCATTTAGCACAATACCTGGTGCACAGGCAGCATTTAGTAAACAGTAACTACTAATAACAAGGAGGAGAAAGAAGAGAAAAGAGGAGGGGGAAAACGGGAATAGAGGGTGAGTGGCAAGGAGGAAATCTGCTTTGTTCACAGAGAGCCGGCCTAGGACGGAGAGTGTGTGTCTCAGCTGTATATGTATAATGTATTCTTTTGACTTAGAGCAATGTCTATAAAAGTGAGGCCCCTTGGACCCCTTGACCTGTAACTACCTCTTCAATAAGGTACAGAGAATTGGGGCAATTATCTGGCTCATTTCAGGTTCAAACTCCCTTTAGCCTGAAGTATCTGGATCTCATGGGAGAAAGGTCTGAGAAGTGGTGACTTGTATTCCTTTGACTTTTCAAGGAGTTCTTTCCCTTTGCTGTGGTGAGCACGGTCCTGCCTTAGAAAATGGGTAGACAAGAAATAGGGGGCCAGGAAGCTGGAATTAAACAGAACATCTGAGAAATGCTTGACAAAAACCAGGTCTTACCCACTTCCTGGGTACCCAGGAGGCGGCCCTGAAGTTCTCTATGCACTCGCCCCAGAGGACCACCGCCCCACCGAAAGAAGTCACAGGCTTTTGCCTGCTGGGGACTTTCATTCCACATTCAGCAATCATTTCCTGAGCACCTACTGTGCCCAGCACTGGGCTGAGCTCTGGAGCTTCAGCAGGGCTGCACCCTACCAGTTGGCAGTGCTGATGTGGCAGCCAGCAAGAGGTCTTGGCTCCTAGAAACAAGTCCAGGACACAAGAAAGGGGACAAGCCTGCTGGGCAAAAACTTCTGGCCAATAGCAGCACTGCCTTTTCAGGGCCAAAGTCCTAATGCAGGGGCGGAGCCAGAAGGTCGGGAGCACCCCCTTCCAATTGTCTATCAGAAAAAGGCCAACTCCACGGTGCAGGGCCCAGTGCAGGGAGGGGTGGGGCAGGCAAAGAGATGGCTAGAGGCTCCTGACCCTCAGTCGGAAGTTTCTGAGAACACCAATTAGCTTTCTTTAATTAGTAAAGTAAGGAGCCAATGAGCATATATTTCTTCTGCTCTGATTAAAAGCATTTAGGTCAGGTTTTCACAGCCAGGATTATCCAGTTTAAGCTGTCCCAAGAAGAGAATTGTTTATTTTTTTCTTTGTATTTTCAGGCAGGGGTCTGAATACTATTAGCCAGCCATTGGTTTCTTGTCACAGCCTCAAACTGCTGGGCAGGTGGGTGGTGGTTGTACAGCGCAGAGAGTGGCAACTAGAAATGAGTTGGAGTCTTTCCTGTGCCAAGTCACATTTGTTTGAAATATATAGACAATTGAGGAGCAGCCAGGAGGGCTTGGGTTTGGAGTATAAGTATGTTTGGAGGGGGAGGGTACAATTAGCCAGATAATTTCCAGTTATCCTAATTTGTCTTAACATAGTCCTCGAAAAATGAAGTTTATTTACTTCCCAGACCCCAAAGAAGCCTGACTTTTCTCCTGGGAGATTTAGCTTGGTCAATTCACACAGGTGGGGAGATGGCCAGGAAACTTAATAGGCTGGGGAAGAACAGCTAAGTCCTTCTTTACACTCTGTGTCTAAACAGGCCACAACCCATGAGGCTGGGCGTGATTAGGAGGTCCCCCAGGATAGTCAGGGGTCACATGCTGTTTATCTCTTACAAACAAGATTACTAAAATATTAGGGAGCAAATCCTTCCCCTTTAAGTCCAGCATTTGGTATTCCCCAGCCTCTAACCTTGGCTAAATCAGCCCCAAGTAGAGCCGGGGTCCCTGAGGAAAAGTAATAAGTGAGTCAATAAGGGACACAAAGGAACATTCTATTGCCCAATCCCCATTTGCTTGACTTACAGACAGTTTTAGTTAGGAGGCTGTTTCCAGATAGTCTTCCCTTTCAGGAGTTCTGGTATGGTTTTAAGTTCCTGGGAAGCTGCTTAAGCCTGATTTCCTTCCATTGCACTTCCAACTGCTGGCCAGTGCAAGATCAGCTTTCCCCAGCAAAGCTCTTCCCACGTTCTCAGGCTCCCAGCTGCTGAGAAGGAAAGACTGACTCCCGCTGGGAAGGAAAGACTGACTCCCACTGGGAGACCAGACCCTACAGGTAATGGTGGGGAGAGGACACTGCCACCGGACTGTTTTTAAAGGTGAAGGTTGACCTGGCAAAATGGAGATGTCAGCCAAGAGAAAGGGTGAAGAGCTATGTAAACTGACTATATTTGGCCTCGGCATTTCCCAGACACCAGCTCCTTTGATCTATCCAAATTGTAGTTCTTAACTTGGTGTCTGAGGAGACTGAAACTCTCTGAAATTGTGGGATTTGGTGAGTACTACATAAGTGCATTTTTTTTTCTCGGTAGAGGGAAATCAATATTGTTCATCAAAATTTAAATTATCTTCTCAGGGAGCGGCCCCCCAAAATGTTAAGAACCTCTCATCCGCTAATCTTATACAACCAACCAAAAACGTAATGCAAAGGGAGGCGTTGTAATAGACTTGGGTATCTGACAAGACAAATTAAAAGGACAAACAATTTCTTGTTCCACAAGGTTGAATAGACACTGTCACCTGGACTTCCTGGAACACCAGGCACCAGGTCACAGGTGCTGGGGACTCTTGGACTGAGACCAGGCAGGCCACAACACCCAGTCACTACCTCCTCCGTATTTGCCTTTTCAGACAAGGAGTATGCAAGGTCTCTGTGTCTCTAATCAAAGTGATATGGAGCTTTTATCCACTGGGGCCTGGACCTTCCGCCATTTGCCACCTTGTCCAAAGCCATCTCATACCGAAAGAGAATTGAACGTTTCAGGAAACACCTCCCCTGTGCAAATGCCCTTCTCTTGGGGAATGGGTATAGTGTCCAAATCTCCAACTCCCATCATTTCCAACCAGCCCTGAGGAACTGTCTGAGACCCCGGAGCCCAGAGACCATCAGCGGGGGCCAACAGCCATGACCTTTGAGTTTTCTTGGCCGCTGGGCCACAAAAAGGGTGCAAGAGACAGCTGGACAGGTAGACAGAAGTAGGCACAAAGAAAGGGGCCCTGGACGGCTGTCAGAGAAAAGACGGAGAATGACAAAGAGAGAAGTGAAGTAGCTGGACTGGAGGCGGGAACTGGAGCGCAGCAGGCAGGTGGAGTGGCCAAAACCTGCGTGCTAAGAAGAGTCCAGAGGGGCGGCAGAGGCGGCCAGGCGCGTCTCCGTTTCCCATCTTTACGCTGGGGTTAATGACCTCCTCAGCGCCCCCTCGTCCCAAACCACCCAATTACAACTCCTCAGGCTCCTTAATGCTCTGATTAATTGGCTGGTTCGGGGGGATGGAGGTGCTCCTCTGCTGGGGACCTGGCGGGGTTTCGCTAGATCATTTGTTAATTGTGGGAAGGAAGGTCGCATTCGGGGAGAGGAAATCCAGGGCTGGAAAAGTGGGTGAGCGGCGCTGGCACAGGCGGCCAGGAGGGAACAGATGAACTGTTCGTTAGGAGCAGCGAGGTAGTCGGGAGCGCTGAGATTCAGAGACCAGGACCCACTCCCTCTCTGAGCAGCAAATCGGGAAGAAGATGCTCATTCGGTAAGGGCGAGGGAGCCCTGCAAGGCGCCCCACCCCGGGCTCGGTCTATCCGCGCGCCAAGATCCCGCTTGGGGCGAGGCGCTGGGTCAGCGTTTAGAGCCACTCCCTGCGCTGGTGGCTGGACATAGCCTCCCTATCACACCTCATCTTCCCCCTTCCCCGACGGCGGAGGTTGTGAATCTACAGGCCCTTGACGTTGAGGCGTCGGAGGGCGCACCTTTGTAATTGTGGCCTCACTTCGCCCCTTAAGTACCGCTTCCGGGCGCCGAGGCTGGATATGAAAGCCCGGTTCCTAATCCTCTGCTTTGGCCCCCTCCTCCGGACTGCCGGGACTCCAACCTAGGCCCTCCCCAGTTTCCATCACTACGGCGCCAACCCGCGGCTGGGCTGTCTGCGAGAGGGAGCTGAAGGTGCACGGAATCCCGAGGTGCCGCTGACCCTCCTCTCAACGCTGACTCTGCGGCTCCCGCCCGGCCATCTCCCTATGGGGCAGACTTCCTGTTCTCCCTCTCACAGCAGGGAGGCAGTAGCGGAGCCGGTCAGCAGCTTGCACGGAGTTCTTCACTCTGCGCCCAGCCCCGGGACACAGGTGCAGATCGCCAGCGGAGCACTGCGGAGTGCTCGCCGTCGTGCACTAGCGAATCCTAGACGGAGGACTTGGTCCATTCCACGCAGTCCCAGGCAGGTCCGCAGCGGAGGGACTCAGCGGTCTCCAACCCCTGGTCACGACTTCCGCGACCCTCCACCCCCCGAAGAGACCTGGTCCCGTGGAGCTGTCCCCCTAGGAGCCGCAGCGGGAATAGCAAGGCAAAGGGGACCACTCAGCCCCCAGGAGGAGCCCAGAAGCGAGAAGGTTGCTGCGGGGAGCCTCTGGTTCCCTCTGGTTCACCTTGGAGCCCAGGAGCTCCCTGGACCAAGGAGTGAACAGACCTGAGGAAGAGGTAAGAGGAGGTTTAACGAGTAAAAATTTGGACTGTCTCCTCTTATATTGCTTTAAAGCATGAGGAATTTGGGCACTGACTTCTCTCTCCTTAAAGGAGTTTCTGGCGTTCTGGCCAGTCCTTGCGTGTCTGCACCTAGCGCCGTCAACAATTTAAGGAGGAACTTTTCTGGGTGGTCGAGGCTTGAGAGTTCATAGTTATCTTTTAAAAAGTCATTACTGTTACTTAATATCTAGGTTATTTTGGACTAAGCCCCCACCTTCGCTCCAGCCGAAATTCGGCCTTTAACAGTACTAGAGAGTGCTTCAAAAGAGGAGGGCTGTGGAAGAAGCGATTTAGACGGCCCCAAGAGGGGTGATGGGAAAGAGTGGGGGCTTTGGCTTTAATGATCTCTGCAAGTTAAAGGCCATTATTCCTATAACTGCAGCTGGTGAAAGGGCAGAGGAGGCAAGGATGGAAAGTGGGCTGAGGGTGGCCACTTTGGCATCTTCTTGAGAAAGGAGGCATTTGAATTCCCGGCCCAACTAAAAGCTCTGAGATGCTTTTGCCCTTTGCTTTACAGACAGTGGTGGCAAAGAAACACTGCCACCAGGGTGTTTTTAAAGGTGAAGGTTGACCTGGTAAGCACTGAGATCAGCTAAAGGAAAAAAAAAGTAAAGACCCACATTTGGTCTCAACATTTTCCAGACACAAACTTCTCTGATTAATCCAAATAGTTCTCAACCTGAAGTTCAAGGAATTTGAAATCCTCTGAAATTGTGGGATTTCACAGTTCTACAAGAAAGTCAGCTGTCACTTTCTGAGAAGCCCTGGGAGGGGAAGGACGCAAGAGGAGGTACATGAGGAAAGGAGGTGAGAGGCCCCAGATCTAGCTCTCTAGACATTGAGCGCTGGACCCCCAAGCTCTGAAACTCAAGCTGACCCCATCTACACATTGCTAAACTGAGTGGAAAGTTGCAAGGCAGCCAAGGAGATAAATTGTATTTACTGCTTTAAGGATGAGTTTGGGTGTCTAAGCAGATTATAAATCTGGGTGTTTCCAGTATTTGTTTCTTTCTTTCAACTATGCCTGAGTTTTGGCCCAGAGTAGTTTCTGGGGCCTTTGGGGCAGTTAGGCAAGAGAGGGACTCAGACCTCCAATTTCTTGATCTTGCCTTTACTTGGTGAAGAGCCCAAGGTTCCCCACTGGCAGGCAGGGTCAGAACCAAGTCGGCCCTAGGTCAGCCCTCAAGACTCCTTTCTCTGAGACCAGGCCTCTGGCCAAACTGCAGACTCCTTCCACACCTGGCCACTGGAATAATGATGGCATTTTTGTCTTCTCCCATTTTTGAAAACTGCAGAAGCCCCAAATCCTTAGTCCCTCTTGAGGAAGGAGGTACCATTCGATCTTGGGGTGCTGGTGGGGGATTGTAGAATCAAATATCCTCTAAGCCTGTGAGGACAAGGTCTGCTAGGATGACTTGGTGTCAATTACAGTTCTGATTGCTGCCTGGATAGGTCAAATATTCCCTCCTTTCCCTCCTCATTCCTTCTGTTCAAGCCCAGAAAATTCACAGATTTTCTGTTTGTAGAGAGAGAAAAAAATGGGCAAAACCTGGGAGTAAAAGGAAGATGAGGGAGAAGAAAACGAGGGAGAGGAATCAATAGACTAAAATAACGAAACTCTCCAACCCAACAGCACTTTAAGCTTGACTTTTAATCTGGCCAGAAACAAAAAGAAGTTGGAGGCAGGGTGGGTAGGATGTGAAGTTCCCAGCCCCACAGATTCTCCTGTCCTCATGGGCTTGGTGCCTTCCCAGGTGGTGAGAACCATGTCTGTTGTGGGGGTGGGAGGGATGTCCTGGGTCTTTCAAGTTGCAGTGTGGAGAGTAAGGCTCTTTCTAAGGGTCTCTGAGGTCTCCCACAACACCTTGCTTGGACTAGCAAAGCTTTTCTTTGTATTTCTTCTGGGGCAGTGTGTATGTGTATGCCTGTGTAGGGTGGTGTTCTAAACCACGGCAGAAGGTGAGCAATTCTCCTGGTGAGCCAAGGGCTATATGTTTGGGGTGGCGGAGGCTTCATCCTTTCTGAACTGGGGAAATGGGGACTTGGAGCCAAGTGCACCAGACTTTAGGGAAAGCGAGGAGCAGCAGCTCCAAAAGGGGATTTTGAGGGAAGATCATATCAGGAAAGGTTCCCCCGACTTGCTTCCTCAAAGGATTAGGGAAGTGCACTGAGAAAAGAGAACTCAAGTCCTCTCCATTAGGCGTCTTTGTGCTTCCATTTGTACTGGAAAGCACAGTCCTGGGCAGTCAGTTGCACATTCTGCCTCTGGTATGTGGAATATGTGAAATATACCAAGCAATGGTCTACTTTGGGAGGGAGGAGGCATATAGATGAAAATATGAATTTCCCTTCTACTGCCTTTATTATTGAGCACAATTGGGAGCACATAATTTCATGTCTCTTTCGCATGTCTGTATAAATCCTTAATCTTTAAACGGTGGTTAACTACTCCGAGAGGCACAGTTGCTGTCATATAAGATTCCTAGCCGACTCCTGCGGGTTACTAATTCCTCCCAGACTCCACAATACCCACGATGCGCGATGCACACCCCTTTATGCTTGCTTTTCTCTACATGCCTTTTCAAAGGCGAATAATTTTTGTATTGACCCATGAGTCAGTCCATACAGTTTGAAATCCTTTGGATGCCCTCTGCCCACTCCCATAAACAACAGGCCCCTCCACAAAAATGCATATGCCCTGTTTTTGTGAGTGTGAATTTCAAATAAGATGGCGGCTCCTGGCATTCCTTAGATTCAGATACACGGTCTCTCAGGCAGGAGGCTGCTCACAGTCCAGAGGGGAAGGAAACCTATGCGGCCCCCAAAAGCCAAAGCAAGAGACTCCCCCAAGTATTCTGCCCCTTCCACGCTGGGAGGCAGCTAGAGAGACAGCGCGCGGGAGAGCTGATTCTGCACCTTGGGGACCTGGGGGCTTCTGTCTAGACTAAGAGTTCCAGGCCAATTTCTAATTTCCATTAGGAAAAGTGGCCCTTCTTCCTTCCCAAGCGATTCCTCATCCCCAAGGCTGCTCAGGGTGGCTGGCCCATGCCTCTCTCATCCGCCTGGAATCGGGGGTTGTGAGCAGGCGGCCCAGGACGCAGGGCCTCAGGCTGGGCGGGGCACTGAGCACCCGGCTCTGGGGAGCCAGGGTTTCCGGTAGAACGAGGGGAGGCAACCCTTTTCCCCATACACAAACCTTCTCTTGGAGAGGTAGGGTCGGGTGCGAGCGGATGGGAAGGCCAAGGCGTTTCGGGTGCGCCCCCAGCCCCACCCGGGGACCTGCCTCGGTCTGGAGATCAAGGTTAAGCCGGTGGCCCTGGGTAGCCCACGCCTGCCACGGGCGATCGGTCCTGAAAGCTCAGGCCACGGGGCTGGCCAGCTTGGAGAGGGGCCTTTCACGCCGCAGTCCCCAGCTGCGAGAGGAAGGGCTGCGCCCGCCTCCTCACCTACCTCTCGGAACCACGCCGTCCGCCGCGCGTCCTGGTAGACTGCAGGAGCCCAGGGCTTCTGGGGACTGTGACGGCGCCCAAGGCGGGGGATAAGGCGGCTCCGGGTCGCCGCCCTCTGCCCCCCCGCTCTGTGAGGCCTCTCGAGGCAGTGTCTGTGTCTGGGGCAGCGACGCCGACGGCGTTGGGGCGCTAAGGGGCTCATGCTCCTGCGTCCCCCTGGCGCCGGTGAGTTGCGGGCGAGAACAGGGTCCGGGAGGGGAATTGGCGCGAGCGCTTCCTGCCTCCGCCCGGGGTGGGGGGCTCGGCCGTCTCACCTGCCCCCACCCGCGGCGCCGTCGGATCCCAGAGCGGCTGGTGAGGAGATGGGCCTGGCGCGCCGCGGGAAGGCCAGAGGCGCGGAGGAGCAGCGCCCAGATGGCCGGAGAGAGCAGAGAGAGAGAGAGAGAGAGAAGGGCGGGGTGGGGGGGAGGGAGAGAGAGAGAGAGAGAATATAACAGGGAAGAGAGAAGCAGATCCAAGGGCACGCCCAGAGAAACCATCAAATGCACAAATAGACAAAAGAGGTAGAGGAGAAAGCCGAGTCCCAGGGACTGAAAGAAGCCATGGGCGTCTGAAGCGAGCGACAAGTTATCCTTGGGAGTTGGAAATGTGAGAGGGAGGGGCGAGGCCGAAGGAGGCTGAGAAGAGAGGGGGCGCTCACACCCTGGGCGGGAGGCGACTGATCTACACGTAGGGCTCCGTATCTGGAGAAAAAGAGAGCGCCGGACCCTCCTCCGCCCACCTCCGGCCCCAGCCGCAGCCCAGTGACTTCCCGCCATCCTCGGACACCGAGCGGTTCCTGCCTGGGGTTGTCCCACCGGGATGGCTTCACCAGGCTGAAGGCTGTCTCTCTACCTGCCTCCTTTTTTCTGTTCCCTGTGCCTTACATGGGTTCATTCCTATTCTATGAACCCAGAGGGAACGACCTTGGCCAAGGTCAGAGAAGGAGCTTGAAAGTTTCACTTTCCATCTCAGCCCTCAGGATGCCTTTGCGTTTTGGCCCTTCGTTAGCGTGTTATCCTGGAATTACAGGCTCTTCTCTTTATTTCTGAGACGCAAATAGAGGTTCTAACCTACCTACAATCAGTGAAACTATGACAAACAGTGGCATTCCTGGCTGGTTGGTATCTAAGGAGTGGCCCCCCTGCCTGACCTCAGCCCTGAGACCCTGCTTCCTCCTTAGCCTGCATGGGACTGGGGACACCCCCTCACAATCCAGTCCCTTCCTGCAGGTGGTTGTCCAGGAGGCAGGTAGAGAGTGCCTGAGGTCTGGGTCCTAAGCCTGGCTCTGCCACTGACTTCAGCCCCCACCCCTTATCCTTTTAGGCCTCAGTTTTTTCCTCTGTAAAATGGGCAGAGTGGTTTTACAAGTGATTTTACCAAGTGAGAAGTGTGGAAATATCTAATTATAATTGTGAATTTGCCCATTTCTCCTTTCAATTCTATCATTTTTGGTGCTTCATGTGTTTTTGAAGCTCTGTTATTAGGTGTGTACCACATTTAGGATTGATGTGTCTTCTTAGGTGTGTACCACATTTAGATTTAGGATTGATGTGTCCTTTTTCTTTTTCTTTCTTCTTCTTCTTTTTTTTTTTTTTTTTTTTTTTTTTTTGAGACGGAGTCTTGATCCAGCCCAGACTGGAGTGCAGTGGTGCAATCTCGGCTCACTGCAACCTCCGCCTCCTGTGTTCAAGCGATTCTCCCACTTCAGCCTCCCGAGCAACTGGGACCACAGGCGTGCGCCACCACGCCCAGCTAATTTTTGTATTTTTAGTAGGGACGGGTTTTCACCATGTTGGCCAGGCTGGTCTTGACTCCTGACGTCAGGTGATCCGCCTTCCTCAGCCTCCTAAAGTGCTGGGATTAGAGGCATGAGCCACCGCGCCAGCCATGATGTGTCGTCTTATCCTTTGCTTCTGCAGCCCCCCCTCATTTGCAGGTTCTGTTGAGCTTGAACTGCTGAGAGAAAATACGTTCAAATGGGAATTTTATTCTATATCCACTTAAACATGAATGTAGAAGTATGACAAAACTAAATTTTGCTTCCAAAATGTTTTCTTTCTTTTTTCCTTTTTTTTTGAAACGGAGTTTCGCTATTGTTGCCCAGGCTGGAGTGCAATGGCGCGATCTCAGCTCACCGCAGCCTCAGCCTCCCAGGTTCAAGCGATTCTCCTGAGTAGCTGGGATTACAGGCGTGAGTCACCGTGCCCGGCCCCAGAATTTTTTCTGTTTGGGTCTATTTTTCTACTTTTTCTTCACTTTTTGTTGATATATAGTATACATGAGGTAAAGAATCTAATGTTAAACCTCTGGCTCAATATATTTTTGCATAGATCCCATCTGTGTAACTACCACCTAGATCAAGATGTTTCCTGCTTACCAGAAGGCCCCTTGTAACTCCTTCCAATTAATAGCCCTCTGGTCAATCCCTCCATACCCCCTAACAATTATTTGGCTTTCTATCAGCATACATTAGTTTTGTCTAATCCTTCAACTTCATATAAACATGAGTACGTATTATTTTGTTTGGCTTCATCTGCTCAATATTACTTGTGTGGGACCTATCCATGGTGCTGTATATGGCAGTAGTTCATTCATTTTATTATTGTGTTATATTAATTGTATGAACTTATTACAATGTATTTAACCTGTTTGACTCTTGGTGGCCTTAAGGGTTGTTTTCAGTTTGGAGCTATTATGAAAAAGCTGTTATGAACATTACATCTGTGTCTTTTGATGGATGCCTGCACTTGGAGACCCAGGAGTGGACAATACTGGGTAACGGAGTAGGAATATGTTTATGTTTGCTAAATAATGACAGTTTTCCAAAGTGGTTGACCAGTTTACACCCCTACTAGTAATGTGTGAGATACATAGAGAAGTAAGCTTTACAAAAAAAAAAAAAAGACAAAGAGGACTCAGTTACCGCATATGCCTACCAACACCTGACACTGTCTGTCTCTTCATTCTGGTGGGTTTGTGGTAATCTTGCAATGAGGTTTTTTGCTTGTTTGCTTTTTGGGTTTTTTTTTTTTGTACATTTTTTAAAATGTGGTAAAAACATGTAATAAATTTTTTTTTTTTTTTTTTTTTTTCTTTTTTTGAGATGGAGTCTTGCTCTGTCTCCTAGGCTGGAGTGCAGTGGCATGATCTTGACTCACTGCCAGCTACTTCTCCCGGGTTCAGGCCATTGTCCTGCCTCAGTCTCCCGGGTAGCTGGGACTACAGGCGCCTGCCACCATGCCTGGCTAATTTTTTATACTTTTAGTAGAGGCAAGGTTTCACCGTGTTAGCCAGGAAGGTCTCGATCTCCTGACCTCATGATCCGCCCACCTTGGCCTCCAAAAGTGCTGGGATTACAGGCGTGAGCCACCACACCCAACCCATCTTAACCTTTTTTCAGTGTACAGTTCAGTATGTTAAGCATATTCACACTGTCGTGCCACAGATCTCTAGAATATTTTCATCTTTCAAAACGGGACTCAATACCCACTGAGTAAAAGTTGCCGCCCCATTCCCCCCTTTCCCCAGCACCTGGCAATTATCATTTTACTTTGTTTCTATAAGTTTGAATACTTTAGATACCTCATATAAGTGGAATCATACTGTATTTGTCTTTTTCTGACTGATTTGTTTCACTTTGCATGTCTTCAAGGTTCACCCACATTGTAGCATGTAATAGAATTTCTTTATTTTTAAGGCTAGGTAATATTCCATTATATTTCTATACTATATTTTGCTTATCCATTCAACTGTTGATGGCCATTTAGCTTGCTTCCACCTCTTAACTGTTGTGAACAGTGCTGCAATGAATATGGGTGTGCAAGTATCTCCTCAAGCTCTCTCTTACTTTCAGTTCCTTTGGGTATATATTAAGAAGTAGTATCCGCCAGGTGCAGTGGCTCATGCCTGTAATCCCAGCAGTTTGTGAGGCCAAGACAGGTGGATCACCTGAGGTTAGGAGTTTGAGACCAGTCTGGCCAACATGGTGAAACCCCATTTCTACTAAAAACACAAAATTAGCCTGGCATGATGGTGGGTACCTATAATCCCAGCTATTCGGAAGGCTGAGGTAGGAGAGTCGCTTGAATCTGGGAGGCAGAGGTTGCAGTGAGCCGAGATCACACCATTGCACTCCATTGCACTAGGCGACAAGAGCAAAACTCCATCTCAAAAAAAAAAAAAAAATCTGTCAATAAATAAAAGAAGTAGTATTGCTGAGTCATATGGTAATTCTATTTTTAATTTTTTTTTGAGGAACCTCCATACTATTTTCCATGGTGGCTGCACCATTTTACAGTCCCACCAATAGTGCACAGAGTTCCAATTTCTCCACATCCTTGTCAGCATCTGTTAATTTTTGTTTTGTTTTGTTTTTTGATAGTGGCTATCCTAATGGGTGTGAGGTGATGTCTCACTGTAGTTTTTTGTTCTTTGGCTTTTTTTTTTTTTTTTTTTTGGATTTTTGTTTTATAGGTCCTGTGAGTTTTCAACATTTCTTCATTGATTCTTTCTC